GTTGTAACTTACTAATTAACTCAGATGGCCCCGATGCAAACAGAAAGTAACCACGAGCTCGATGAAGCAACAGCAAGCCCGTTCGATCGAAATTGCAAAATGAAGCCAAGGGCTTGTGAGGAGCATGGGAAACATGAGGGGCTGTTAGCGAATGGGGCAGGAATCCAGCCACCTCCTTGTTAAATGGCATGTGCTTTCTTCTCAACACAGGTATCATTTTCTTCAACCGGGCATGCCTTTTGTTCTTTGTGTTGGAGCTTCCGCGTAAGCTTGCTCTCGCTGTGTATGCTTGCTCATCCAAAGAGGGGACTGAGCGGCTATTCACGAGCCATTGGAATGATTTGATTGGTTTCTTGCAGGTTGAGCAATGACCGTGTATGTGGGTACTGAATTTGGCAGAGTTTGATTGGCTGTTTGCTCTCAAGCAGTGGTGAAACTACCCAACTTTGAGCTCTGATGGCGGGCTGAGCAGCAGACGGGCCGATGAGTAGAGTTCGGTACACCTGGCACACTGCGGTCTGGTCGTGGCATGAGGTCCTTACAGAGGGAAGCTATCGCCGATATGCAGAGTTTGCCTGTCACGTATGTTGTGAGTGTCCAGTCATCGTGTCTTGACACGCCACGACATTGACACCGGGCAAGCAACTCCCCAGCACCATCCTTTGTCCACAGATTTATTGAAAACCATGCAAGGAAAACCACCAGCCCTGGCAAGTCTACCGATTCGTTTGGACAGGACATTGAGCCAAAGTGCAGCCTCCTCCAGGTTCTAGCAAGTCACGCGAGTCGCACATCCTTAGCTGTTTCCTATGGCAAGCCTAGCTGTTCGCTTGGTTCCTCGCTTGCCACATTCAAGCTTTCAAGATCTCTGAGTGACCTAGCCACATCCCAGAATCGTCAGCAGCAACGCGGCGACCACGCCTATCGGCAACCAGACTCCAACTGCTGACATGGAAAATGCAAATGCAGTAAATCTTCAGCAATCCCGCAAGCGGTAGGACAATCACACCTCTTTTGGCAACCTAGCTTCAAGATTTACTTCCATTTGCTCCAGTCTACTGGGAAAACATATTTCCAGTAGTGATAGATTCCCCTTAAAGCCAACAGGGAAAGATAGAGAATAGTCTGAAGCAAATGGAAGATAATGGAAGTTTACTTATGCTGTCACATACGCCCTCACATGGCCGATCTAATTGCAAACCATGCATTCTTTCTGGAGTAGTAAGCATTTGTTGCAGATGTTGCTGAAATCTGCAGGGGCATGGCGACTCTTATCTGCAACAGCTGCCATTCGGCACACATGTTCATGACGAACAGGTTGAGCTATGCATGGGTATGTTTCAAACTTGGGTACACCCCAAATCGTTGATTTCCTTTGGTTCCGCTTGAAAGACCAGGTCCCACATTTAGGAAACACCTGCATGGCGTCATCACTTGCATGGAAGTCAGCCAGCCTCAGCAACGGTTGGCACCACCTGGCAATGCAGGCAATTCCAGCGAACAGTAGAAAGAACCCTGTGCCCATCCCTATATCTTGGGGGGCTAGCGTGGAAGTTCCCCGAAATAATTTGTCTAGTGTTCCCAACCACAGCCAGAAGTACTGGTCATCGTGTCAGCATCCCAAAGCGTGTTTCAGGGATTCCTTTGGTAGACCTCCGCTCCGATTGAAAGCAACACACACGATCTCTCTGATAGGAAAGTAGGCAGGGAGTGGGTGGGGCAAAGCTAATTCCAATCGTATGTTTGATGCGAGTCTTCTTACTTTTTTAAATCTCTCCCTGCTTCTGGCTTTATATTTCGGGAAAACTGGCTAAACAGTTGCCGTTGGGAACCACCAGTGGCTATTTCCACGTTGCTCCTCTTTTAGTGCGAAGCCATCTGGAAAAGGGGGAGGGAAGTCAAGAGGGACACCAAAAGTGGCTTAAGCATGTAACATGTGAGCTCTGGACAAAGCAACTTCTTTCTCCAAGAGCACATGGGATTGGGGCTGTGCCGCCATTCCCTCCCAAAACCAACAGCAAACTACCAATGATTTGCCAGTATTCCATTTCTCATTTCTGGTGACCAAACCCTAACAGGAACCATCCTTATTCCGCAAGGACAAACAACGCACAACATGAAGCCAACAGCCACAACATCCTTTTGCAGCAGGTCCTGTCCCTCACTGCCATGATGTTGACCCCGGATTTCAATAAACCGGTCTTACTAGGGGTTCCCTCCAAAAGTAACAAATCCCTACCAACCCCTATGAATCAACCAGGGGTTGACTAATCCGGGATTCCCATTTCCCTTTTGGTTTCCCTTTGGGCAGATGTAAGGGTTGCTGAGCCCTCAGCTGCGCAAAAGCGCTTGCTCTAGCCCCCCAGATCTTGGGACATGACAAAAGCTCTTTGCATGCGAGGTTTCAAACACAAGGAAGGCCAGTCACCCCACATTCTATGGTTCAGAGAGTCTACGCCCAACTGGAGGAACTCCACCTCGGGACCTACAAGTGGGAATGCAACCCAGGTCATTCAACACTTGACAACAAAGTGATCCATTCACATGCGCAAGATCCGGATGTGGTTTCTAGGGGGTTCTTTTACTGGATCCTCGAGCAGAGAGCTTAGAATAAGGGTACCCTTTGCTCGTAGTTTATTTTAGTAGGGGAACCCTCCCCCCCAAAAAAAAGGTGAGAAAGGGCACCTCGCTGGGGGGCTCATTCGTCCACGAGTTCGGCTCCGATCCGGCCTCGCCACGGCTGGGGTTGTTGGGCGCCTAGCCGGCGAGTCAGTTCGAGGGACTGGGCTGGTTCTTGCCATGTGCTCAGGTAGGGAAAGAACCGAGACCGGGTATGGGGAATGAAGCGGAAGGGGAGTCCCAAAGAAAGGAGACCAAATCGGATGGATGGTTTTTCTTCAGGGTCATTCCAATTCTCATTCCCAGCTGAGAACCAGCAAGTTGAGTGGTAAATGATTGGCAAATCGTCTGCGGGATCCTCGCCGATGCTGCTCAACCATGCTTCATTTGCCAGAAACGACCACATGTTACACGTGTATGTCTGTACATTCATATATATGTATATACACACTTAAACATATATTGTAGTATATGGTAGATGCTTTGGGCCAACGGCCAACTTCTGAACAGAAGGATCGGAAAAATAATGGGAGGATACGGCTAGAAGATGGGTATGACTGGGTCCAATGTCAAATTACCCCAAACCTGGCTTCAAGGGAAACAATCCCCAAAGCATTTTTCGAGAAGTGCTCAGACCCACTTTCGACCCTTGAACTAACATTGCTGATCTTTTTTTGGGGGGTCTGGGGATACTTGGTTCTTAGTACCCTCCTACAAATCAGCATGGCACCTGACGGGTCCTGGAAGACCATTTTCCTTGGCCCTTGTCAGGCTCTATGGAACCGCCAGGTAAACCAGGAATCACCCGAAAAATAAATCAGCCAAACCAACCAAAAAGGACACCTATGGTGGCGTGGGTGGGTTTCCTTCTCAAACGAGTGCCGCATCTTTTTGGAGAGCTCTGGGCCCCCAAGAGCTGCAAGGCGGGCGGAAGCATCCCCGTGTTGGCGAGCTGGCTCTGGGGGATGGTTGCTGAGCTGGATTAAAAACAAACACCGCCTTTGGGATAACTGGTGATGGTTGGCTTTGGATTCCTTAGCTGGGATGGTGTGCCTTCGGGATAACTCTGGCACAGCTCTTTCGGTTTTTGCGGGGGATCGCTAAGAGTCCAGCGTGTGCAGAAGGACTGCTGTGACATCTCGAAAGGCAGACAGTTCTTCTTGAGACGATTGTTTCATGTCATTGCGTTTCCAGGAGCGCGCAAGGTGCCTGTGTTTGTGGCCCAAGATCCAAGTTTGGTTCTGGTGTTTGACTGGTGACATGGAACATTCAGGCCAATAGATCCCAAATGTCATTTTTATCAAAACTTGGGGGGGGGGGTTGAAGGGTGACACGGGTCTCTTCGAATTCAGCCCAAAAAAGGATTCCCCAAAAAAGGATTCACCCACTTCACTTTGCAGGAGACTTTTCAATTCGACCGAACCACACTATAGCCACCACTATGCCCTGGTCTTCCTTGGCCTGATTCAGGGCAGGATTCATAACTTTGAGGGTCTCTGGTTGATGCATAGAGGCACCCATCTGAGTTGCAGCTTTGCTCTAGCAGTCCAGTCCGAGCCGTGGAATCAGTGTCGGAATCCCTGCTTTCCTATCGAACCGTTTGCGTATATGACTTCCTTTTCACTGTTTGGGATAGAACGCCTCCAAAAAAAGAATCAAAGTAGAGACAACCAGGGTCAACCATAACATTCCTGTCTGTTTTGCTGACCCATGCGTTCCCAAAATCAAAGGGCTCTCCATACCTCCCCTTTGACCACCCTTCATTGCCAATCATATAAGAAGCGATGTTTAACAATGCTTCCATAGGTAAGCTAGCACAATTCTCAACCATAAAATTATTCTCTGACATTTTACCCTCACTCATTTTTCTCTTCATATATAAGGTATTTTCCCCATCGTCCTGTGAAAATGAAACTCACTTGAACTGGCCTCCCTACTGGTGATACGTTTAATCAAACCACAAAGGGATACGAATCCCTGTCCCAATATCTCTTCGCGGCCCAATGGGTTGGGCGTTGGGCGCCCGGCAGCAACCACCAGCAACATGGCCAGGATCTTGATCAGCCGGGGCCTACCCGCTTCAACCCAGAAGCCCGCAGGTACTCTGATAGAGCAAGGAGAAACCCAAGACTGACGCTTGAACCGACGGAATCCCCTAGAGACCTGTGGGGTCTCCAAGTGAGGGAAGCGGCGGTTTCCTGATCAACGAGAATGATGACTCCCTTCAAGTTCGGGTACCAAACTTTACATGGTGTATTAGGGATATGTAAGGGGATATCTTCGAGGCAATTATTCCCAAGTAATATCAAGTAACAAAACATATCAAAACAGGCGCAGCCATGTCCCAAGACCAAGCCAATGCAAGGAGCCCGAATGGGGGTGACCCGCTTCGTTGCACTGGTACCTTGGTGTCCGCAAATAGGTGACCGTCTTTTCTTCTTCACATTGGGGATCCCCCCTACCTTAAGGGGAAGGGGGCTGGGGGGGTCCTTAATTCCGTTTATTGAGTCTTCCCCATACAGCGGAAGATGGAACCACACATGGAATTCCAGGGGTAACCCCAATTCCATTTTTGAGGGGGTGGGGATCATTGGGGCTTTACCATTGTTCCGCTTCAACACGGGTCCCATTTCGGACACCCATGCTTGCCGGGGATAAGGGGAGGACACCTGGCACATAGTCGCCTACCGAGACTTCCAGCAAATCACCTGACTTGCTTGTCTCTGGCCATGTTCTTTGGTTTGTGGACTATGGATGCCGTTGATCTGACGACGGGTCCAAGTGGAGACACACCCTTCTGGAAATCAGCCATGCCTTCTCAGGTTAAACTCAGCTGAGACTGTGTGACGAGAGCTCTGAGCACTTGAGCCTGGGAATCTGATGTATCATGCATGCGGTTTCACCTTCGGCTGCTCCGAAACCTCCAAGTTGCTCGGCCATCCGTTGGTTCTTGGTCAAAATGGCCGGTTTTCAGTTTCCAGCCAGTTCTCTGCAAACGCGACGCCAACTTTGGGCGTCAGCAGGCTGAAGCCCTCAAGTAGGATCGTGCCTCAAGGTATCACCTCCAGTGAAACCATGTTGAGGTACCCTAAGGGTCCGATTCGCCTGTTTTTGGGCCCTCCAAATGGGGTGTTACGTTGAGGGCCCTTGAGGAATTGGTCGGGGTTCTCCATTGTCGGGTCCGGGGGTCTGCATTGGAGGGCTCATGACCCTTAGGGTAGTTGATCTTATGACCAGTTGCAATGCCCCACCAGGGGCCATGGGAGAAACAGGGCACCTTTTGCTTGGCAGGTGCTTTAACGAGTCCCCACCCCAACAAGAAAACAACAAATAACAACAACAAAAAACAGCAAGGGCACCAGTGAAACCATGGACCTCCCCCCCAAAAAAAACCAAAGAAGAAACATATAAAAAGAGACAACCCTGGACAACAACGGCACCACCTGAACACACAGCAAGGGCACCACCTAAACACGCAACAAGCCCCTCCAGCCCACAAAAGAAACCGGAAAGGGGCGCACCCCCTCCCCCCAAAAGAGGCGCCCAAGCCCCCCAAGTCCCCCCCTCCCCCAAGACGCGCTGGGCTGAGGTCCCTGTGTGCCCGGGCAGGGCAGTACCCCGGGCCAGCTGCCGCTCCACCATGATGCCCTTGCCGCTGCCCCGTCTCACTGGGGTACTCCAAAACTCAGAGGTGCAAATGCTTGGCTTCACATTCTTGGCTGCTGCAACGACCCCTCTGCAACAAGTGTAACTTTTGTAGGTCCAATGGACAAATCCAATGGTTCTGAAAAAGTTGAAGTTCAAAGATCAAACCAAATAGCCATAAAGCATTTTGGTCATAGAATGCAGAATTGTTTTGAAGACACCTGAGTTGGGTGGTTTTTGACGAAACACCAACCATTGGGGAAGGGGGTCGTATCATTGGACCAGCGTGATTTGTGCGAGGGGAACTCATCGAACCATGTAGGGGAACGGTCAACATGTGCTGTTCGAGAAAGAGCATGGGAACACCGAGTTCCCTCCCAACTTAACATAGACTTCTGAACAAACCTCAAGTGCGTAACGTTGGCCTGGACGGAAAGAGGAGTTCAGAGCTTTGATTGCTCTGGACAGGGCATGGCAGGATTAGGAACCCCCCATCAGCTATCTGTTCAGTGACTGGAGCCAAGTCTGGGGGCTCAGGTGCTTGGCTTCATGTTCACACACCAAAGGGGCTGAGCTTTCGCGCAAGCTTGCGGCCGCACGGCGGAAAGCTTGAAACGCGAGCCCTTGTGGCACCTCGACGATGTGCTCACGTGGGCTTATAAGATATGTTCCAGTTGCCAACGCCAGCGAAACGCAAAGGCAGTCAGAACCCAATTGCCAGCTGTCCGATTGTTTCTTCAAATCACAAGGGCCATAGACAGTCGGGGCAGGAAACTCTGCTAAAAGCTGTCGCTCCCAAAAGCGTCGGTGCGTTTTCTTGTGCCTGGTGGGGGGGGCCCGGGTGCTTCCCCCAAGGATCAGCGAAGGAGAACGCTCACAAGGATCGGGCACCTTGAAAGGTGTCTGAAACGAGGAATCCGTGTCTTATTTGAGTAGTTGGTTATTGATCCCCAGTCAAACGGCAAACTAACCTAGCCTGAGTTGAGGTTAAAACCAACAAACATGCAAACAAAAAAACTGTTCTGTTTCAAAATTGTCCGCCCTTCTTGTGGGCGGAAGGTGCCACGAACCGCACCTGCGCTTGCTTCTGAAGCTCCAGCAACTCCGGGGCGTTGTCCCCCTTGGCGGTCTCCGGATCCCCCCAGAGCAGCACGTTCCGGATGAACCTCGGGACACATTTTTCCTCCGGAAAATTGTGCTATGGGACACGACTCCGCGTCTTTGGTCCTTGGTCATTTTGGGCGCCGGAAGAAAATGCCCGTGAAAACCTTCAGAAAGCTGCTGGGACCTCTTTTGAGGTTCGCTACATGTGGGACCTGAATCTCAGACATGTAACTAGGCTGGAATTAGAACCCCAGCAAAAAAACAACTTGTTTGCCAGGTTAGCGGAAAAGAATGGGATCCCAAAAAAGTAAACAAAAAGTGGAGCTAATTCTGGGGAACGTAATTGGAGTCAATCGTGGGGCAAAAGCTGAGGTAGACTGAGGAGGCTTTTGGTGACTTTGGGTGGTCTGTTAGCGCCCTTGTGGGCGGTTGGGACCATCGACACGAACACACCCTCCAAGCACTACATTGGCTTGACCAAAGGTGAGTTGTAGTCAACACCTGGCATTTTAAAGGGCTTCTTGCCGCACTCTCAAAAAAAAGCATTCATCTACCCGGGCTTTGGTTGCGCGGGTCTTTTGGGGGACCCCAAAACAAGGGATGGAGGAAGTCCTGCACCACTTTGCAACTCACTGTTTGTTGGTAATCGGAGGAGAACCGACTCATTCCGTTGGGCTTCTGAACGTGCGAAATGGATTTCGTCCATCTACATGGGCATAAAGAAAGTCGGTGCTGGAAGAATGAGACAAGGGGCCCAATTTTCTAATGTTCTGCCTCAGTAGTTTGGTTGAGGTTAGAAGCACATGCGACCCGCTTCTCACTTGCTTGCCTTTGCAGTACTTAGTCAACTCTCCCAAAGTGTCTTACACGCTTGCACAGAAAATATGAGGGAATACTTGTGCGATTCAAAGGATCAACATGGGTCCGAGACTCTAGATATATTGGATTGACAGCGCTTGCAGCCATCTGCAAAGCTCACAAAACAGTCCAAGGGATTCTCAAGCAAACAACCTGCATTGGGTGCCCGATCAGTGATCAACTGCCCTAAATAAGATGGGGTGGTGTGACCGAGGACCGAGGCTTTGGTCTTCAAACAACAGTCCGAAGCGGAATCTGTACTTTGGACATCGTTCTTAGCACAGTCTCTTGCTTGCACTCCTTCATCGCAGAGTTAACTCCCCTTGGTCTTCTGAAAGCACTTCCAACCTTCAATGCGTCGTCTAATCTCTTTTTGCTGTTTCTTCAGATGGGGCCAAGGCCGCATCATCGCCGTAATTGTCCTGAGGACACTCTGAGAGGAGCACCGTGAAAGGTAACAATCCGACACATACTCTGTAGTCTCTGCAGCTTAGGCATCAAACTGGATAGTACGCTTTATATGCGGACATACATGCTGTCTTGCGAGCTGAGATGCGAGGGCCATCAACCAACCCAAGACTCTAGACGTTGACACTTCCAGGCTAATCGTATCATATGGACTGGGAACACAAATAGCTGGGGTGATGAGAACCCACTTCTGTAACATGGACGGAAGGATGGCAAAATGCTTCCCTGGCTGGCACCCTTCGTCAGAACAACCGTACCCTCAACCCAAAACCCGACCTTCAACAGCCCCCTTGGCTCCCCAGTTGAGTTCTAGATGAAATGTCAGATTTGCCTCAGAGTTGCAACCAACATCGGGGTCTTGTACATTGGCGGTCCTTCCAGTGATTCAAAGGGATTCATGGGATTGGGCATGGGATTCATTCGAGTGATTCCCTCGGGGATTCGATTCCTCCAGACATTGGAGGGGCAAGGCTGCACCCGCAGCTCCGGCTGGCGAGCACTTGATGGATTCATCTTCCCAGACATGCGAGAGGACCAAAACCAACCGACGTTTTGTCAACTGCTTCATTTTGTCAGAATTGCTCAAGAACGTCTTTCCGCTTTTCGCTTTCTGTTGATAGCTGGAAAGAGCATTATTTTTCTCGAAAGAGAAACACGTCAGCCTCATCTCTTTTTGGCGTACCGCACAGTTGCCACTTGCAAACCCAATGTTCCAATGCAAGTTTGAGCTCAACCGGAACGCCAAAGTAATAGGCAATCAATCCCTGGTTGATTGATAGGGCTTGTCCCAGTACTAGAGGGGATCATGCACGTTTGCGGGGTTGTCCATCACACAGAAAACCAACGAACGCATGTCAATCTAGGTGTCTTCCCGACAGTTGTCTGGCCTCTGAGTTCCCTTGTTTCACGCAACAAAACAAAAAAGAGCTACCGAGCCCTTACAAGTCAAAACAAAGAACACGGCCTTCCCGCGCGGCGCCGAACCGGTCCCGCGGAAGCTCGACTCGACTCGAGTCGGGGTCCTTTCGTACATCGCCTGGCCCTCCGTGAGCCCCGGCAATGCCTCAGGCCCGGTCGTGGCTTCCGCTGGTGGAGCTGAAGCCGCCGTGGGAAGGTGGCGAGCACTTCGAGCAAGTGGAGCCCAAGTTTTGTTGGTTGGTTGACTCGTTTTGTACCAAGTTTAGGCAAGGTTTCTGGCAAGTGGGTTCCCCAGCTTTTGATGGTTGGTGGGAAAAATGGTTCAACCTGGACCAAGTGGCGCTCGCCTGTTGTTGGTAGTAAAAGAAGCGCCTTGGTTGGCCGACCAAGCTGTGTTTGCCTTGAAGCCAGGCTTACAGCTGGTAGAAACAAGAAGTGGAACCAGTTGTGAGTCTTAGTGACGCCGCGAAACAAAGAGGAAGGGGATTCCACTGAACTGGGGGGAAGGGGTGATCTAAAGGAACCTGACACAAGGTTTGAAAGGCTTTCACAAACAACCGAATATGTGTTTTGTTTCCGGAAGGGGGCCCGTGGCCGTGCAGCCAACCCGCCAGCCCCCAAACGCAAGTGCATAGCAAGTGCTATGCCACTTTTGCAGGTGGGCGTTTCAAAATTCGGGAGCCTCTCACATGATCGGTTGCCTTGTCTGATTCAAACATCTACCAAACAGGTTTCCCTAAGAAACAAGCCCAGGCAGTTGCTTGCAATTCTCATTCAGAAGCAGCCTGCAACTGACATGGTTGCAGTGCACAATCGTCATGATGAATTGATTCGGAAGGGCAGCCCCCTTTCAAGGCATTCATGTAGAAAAGTTGCAGATGTCAAGCGAAGGGTGTCGGGTAAGCACGGACACGCAATCCCTGAGATACGCTGGTCTAGCTCTCGCGCACCTAAGACCAACTCCACGCTTAGAATATCCGCGTTCAACCTGATCTGCCGAGTTGATGGGCCAAAACAAGCTCAAACTTCTTGGCCCTCTAAACTTCTTTGAACAAATATGCCAACATAAGGTTCACACTTTGAAACAGCAAGAAGTAAACAAGCAAGCAAGCAAGCAAGCAAGCAAGCAAGCAAGCAAGCAAGCAAGCAAGGCAGGCAAGCAAGCAAGCAAGCAAGCAAGCAAGCAAGCAAGCAAGCAAGCAGGCGAGCAAGCAAGCAAGCAATCAAGCGAGTAAGTATCCTAGGCCGTATGGCTGCTGCGCAACCTCCGGATTTATGTTCAACGATTGATTGCAATGCAACTGCTCTTGTCCAAAGAACCAAAGCTAGGGTTTCAGATGAGCTCGATGTCTTTTGAGGTTGCTGAAATCGAGCACTTGACGCCAAACATGACGCACAACTTGCACACCTGCTGCACGTGGTAGATGCCGACGCGCCAAACATCCATCATTCCGGATTTCGATCCGGGAGGACAATTCCCATTGCCAGTTGCTTCCCAGGCGACTAGTTTGCACAAGAATGGCCATTGTTGGCATGCGTTCTTGTAGCTGCCTGCGTATCCGCCCCTATCATTGACGTGTTGTGGGAATTAACTCCCAAATTCATGATGTTGTCTAAGGAGGGAGCAAAGGGAGCTAGTGCTTGAAGGTCGCCTTTTGCGACTCAGCAAATGATCTGTAAAAAATCAAAAAATGCCAAAACCTGGAATAAGGGATCCCCAAGTAGAGGATCTTTGCCACAGAATGATCCAAGCAAGGAAACACACAATGGGAAATTCTGCCGACACTAGCAATCGGGCCGAGGATGATTCGCAACTTGGCTTCCCGGAACCCCGCGTTGATTTGCTGAAAGGGGCGTCAATCTCTATTGAATCCTCACGGAAAGTAAAAGGCAATGAGCATCGAATGGGGTTCAGAGTCTGTTTTCCGTGTCTTGCTTCTCGTTTTGCCGAAGCACCCCAACACAGGGAAACCAATGAGTTTCCAATTTAGAAGCAAGGGAACCTCTAGTGCAAATACTCTTCATCAGTAAGCCCTCTCGGTGAACTTGTTACGATTTGCCTAAATTTTGTTGGTGCTCAGTAGGGAATGCGGGAATGGACCCAGGCTTGGACCCCTTCAAGGAAACCACAAATTGGTGGCTTTTGCTTTTCTCAGGGTCACAAACCATAACTCTCAGGGCCCCTGCATCTCTCGCACCGATCGCAAGAGAATGACCCCTGTAAACCATCTCTCGCTGGTGGTTTCTGTTTAGGGGACCTCAGGTTCATTCTAGGGGTACCTTCCCCATTCTTTCCAGGCATTCTTCTTTCTAGAAAACCACCCCAAACCCTGGGGAAACTCATCCGGTTTTTGAAAGAACAATGGTTGAACAGAATGAACAAGGAAGATCAACCCCTAGATTCATTCCAACTCATTCCCTGCCAAATTACAGCACCAGTCATTCGAAAGCCCAAAAAAAAAAAAAACGTCTCCACCTCTCGGCCTCGGATGCCCCGATCTCCCCGCCGGCATCCGGGATCCGCCTCGATGGTGCAGTCGAGCACTTCTGGCATCCACTGCGTGGACTTGATGGCCAGCAGCGAGAGGTTCCAGTGCCTGGACTCGAAGGGCCATCCCAAAAACATGAACAATTCCAGAAGGGACCCGCCTCAGCTTCAGCATCCAGCAGCCAAAAGGCGCCCTGCTTGCTTTTCATTCCTTTGGGGGTGGGTGACCGGGTTAGGCTTGCTTTTAATTTTCTTTTGGACCCCTGCCAACCCAAGCCTTGGCCCGAAAAATGAACAGCTAAGCCAAACTTCTTTTTTTTTTTTAATGAAACCCAAAAACACAGATGCCAACACCAGTAAAGGACCATACCCGATACACCGATAGCTTCTAACAGCCCTCAGTTGAGATGTGCACTGCCGAGATAGGGGATTCAAAGAAGGGGCTGCTCAGGGCGGGTGGCGCAGGGGCCATATCTCTGACTCATCATGGAGCCAGGTACACTCAGCAAGACTCCGTCGTGTTTGGCGACTCTCTATGGGCGGTTTCCCGTGAAAGAAAGGAAACCCGACCAAAAACGTGAACAAATTCATCACTCAATTGAATCACTGGAGGCTTTCTCTCACCGAAACGGACCTGGCAATCAAAAGTATACCTTTAGGTACTTCAACTGCGTACTGTGGATTGACAACATTCTGCACCAGTTGGCATGGACGAAAGCCTGTGAAGACTTGGACAAGCCACTTACAGACTTGTGTAGGATGTGGTTTCACAGCACTGGCCCGAACGGGAAGCCAAACGGCTCAAATGCCGATGCGCAGGGTACAACTGAATTTACCAGTACAGAGGGGAAAGGCAACACCCTTGAATTCAGCCAAACGGAACATGGTTGCCTATGGATATGTCCCACATCGTTGCAAGGGTACAAGCAGGCTAACAAGCCCTTTAGAGGAACCCAAAATCAAGTTGTGAAAGAAATAGTGGCTTACGGGCCAACCCCCGGTATGGTATCAACCAAAAACTGATGCTTTTCGCAAGCCCACTAAACAGGAATAGAACCAAACAACCTACAAAGCATGCCAACAAAGGTGAAGCAAAGCAATTGTGGTTCACAGGTGCATAAACTTCCATTTGCTTAAGTCCCCTAGATGGAAAAACCATACTTCCAGTGGAAGATAGATTCCCTTTAAAACCAACAACGGGCAAAACAAATCTTGTGCAACTGGAAGCACAAAGATAAGCTTGGCACCTTACGGTCACTTCAGATGTCCGGGCCTCACAGCTTCCGCCATCATCTCGTAGGCCGCCGCGCTGATGGGCGGCCTGGGGCCATTTTTGACCCAACCTATGGAGTCCTCAGCTTTAGAGTCCCTGGACTTAACTCCCCCCAGAGGATTCCATGGAAGCTCCCAGGACCCCTTTGGAAGACTTGGTCCCAGTTACAGAGGCCTTCTGGGAGCTTCCATGATCTGGGGGAGTGTAAGTCACTGGGATTGGAGATCTCCAACCTTGGACTGGACAAGAACCTCCAAACTATTTGGCCATGGTTCAAAATCCTGTACCCCCGGCGAGCATCCCAATCCCCACCGGGATGGGTTCTAAAATGGGTGATGCACCGAAAACCCAAAATGGGATCCCAAATCGGTTTTGACCCACAGCCATTTGATCAACCGCCACGAGCGAAAGCCAAGAGCGACAGCCCTGTCAGAGATCCCAGCGCGATTGCGACACTTCCTCCGGAGAGGTTCCGCGCGACCGGGGCAATGAAGAGCCCTGGCAAGGGCAGAACTAGGCTGGAATTCGGACCCCCAGCAACAAAAATATGCCTGGGCAATGGAAAACCCCAAAAAGCAAAGAACAACAAGGGGAGCGAATTCTGGGGAAGAAAAGTGGGATGTTCTTCCAAAAGGGCAAGGGAACCCAATGAATCGGCCCTTTCAGGGCCCCAAACTCCTTTTCAGGTCCTGGCTGCAAGATCCAGATTCATCCGTCAACCGTTCAACAATATGAAGCCACTGTGGTTTCAATATTCATTGTCACCTGTCTAAGGACTTCGTCCAGAGGCATTTCCTGATGGGTTGCTCAGGTCATTCTTGCTTCAAACACCCTGAGGCTCAGATTGTCGCCACTCAATCCCCAAAATTCGTCCTCCCCATACTCCCACGTTGCCATGGCACCTGACAGGGGGTTCCTAGAGGAAATGCTATCTGCCGGGAACCTCCCGCAGGTGCATTTTGTTCGTGGGAGAGGGCATTTACCACAACAACAAGCGGTAATGCTTGCACAAGCTTATGCTAAGTATATCATCATCCATACCTCCAAAACCCATGCCTGGGTCCCTACTGAATGCCCCACCTCTCCCGGCTCCCACATTCAAAGTGATACTTCCGCGTGTCCCAAACCTACCCATAGCTACTATATGTACGTACTGTATTAACATAATACAGATGCAGTATCCACGAATTCTCTGCCGCGCCCAACGAGCCGCCGCTTTGGAACCAATCTTGCAAACCTGAGCATCAATCAGTCGCCCACGGGCAGGTCCTGAGGTTTAATGAAAAAACCCAGCAAGAAGCTGTGCAAAGGACAGGTTTTGGCTGGCAGTGGAATGAAGCTTCCTCTCGGGAAGGACAACTCGTCTTGAGGGACGTGTGGCAAAATGGAGGCTGGGCCCCAAATGTTGGTTTCCCTTTTCTGGTTTCTCCCCAAACCAGGCCCCCAAAATTCTACCCTCGAAAACCACATAGACCACCGCGCATCTTTCTATGGCACAGAGGGATTCCTCTCCCTACTGCATTGTATTTTGAGATTCCCCATGGATCGCACAGGGAGTCAGGGAGTCTCACTTCTGGATTCTACCTTCACCTGGTTCTCACAGACCAAAATCCCGATCCCAACATTGACAGCTGTCTTTCGACAGCTTCAAGTGGTGTTTCAGATTGGGGTCATGACCCAACCCAACTCCCCGCATGCGGAGAGTCAATTTCGAGTGCTACCCTGCAGATTCTGTTCCTGCAAGGACGTGGAAACTAGTAAAACAAACCCTAACCCCACCCAAGAAAAAACAAGTTGAAAATCAACCCTGAACCTCCCACTCCAAAAATTGCCACTTGAACAGCCAACTTGAAAATCCAATATCCGAAATCTCTCCAGCCCTCCAAACCCAATGAGGTTCCGCCAAAAAACACAAATCCCAGGTCCTGTGAGGTCCACCAGCACCGCATCCATCTGATTCTCCGCGTTGGAGGCGAAGAAGCCGATCGCGTTCCGCACCAAACCTGAGGTTAAGCGATCTCTCGCTTGGGAACCGCAGTTTTTTCTCTTTTTCCGGCGGGTGTCCGGTAAATCCACGACCATTTTATTCATAGGGGGCTGCTTTTGCCTGTGAGATGTGGGGAATCATACCACTTTTGGAGGGGAACACCCCCCACCCCACTTGTAATAACCCCCCCTATTAAACTGGGGTTGATTAACATGGGGTCAACATTGCCCAAACGGAAAAACACCCGGAGATGGGTGCGTTTTTTTCTGTTAGACTCACCTACAAATCGTGGTTGTCCATTTTGTTGTCCTACAAAACACCAACAACCAGGGTAAAAAACCAAACAACAACACCCACACGGCAGGAAAAATAGCGAACTGTTTCTCGGCACGACAATCCGGGTGAACTCCATTGAGCTGCCTTGAGAACTTCCCTGTCACGATCAATTACCATGGAATGCCCCGAAGGGGTGCCCTCAAACACCTCTTCCAGCACGGTGGTTTTGGATTACATGTTTCGTCGAGGATGTTGCTATATGTTGCTTCTCACGACCAGGCGGCGGCTCACCTCGGGGAAAAGCCAAAGACCCCCCAGCCCAGAAAAGGTTCTTAGAACCTTCTTAGAGGGGTTCTTAGAAGGTTTCTTGGAATCATTTTGGTGCCCTAACAACTAGCCCCAGATTGATCTGAATTGGGGGAACAAGGAACAAGGAACAGGGAACAACGATCTTGTCTGAAGATGGCACCCTTCACACGCTGAAACCAAGCCGTGCGAGCCCCAACAAGCGCGAACGCTTGCCTTCTGAGAAGGCAGAACGGTGAGAAAAGTCATGCTGTGATTCTGCGAAGCACTGTCGCTGGACAGAATCCTGCACCAGTTGGTAGTTTATCCCACTATAGGGTTTCATCCGTGGCAACGGGTGCTGGATTTCGTCTTGGGTGCGGATTTATTTTGGGAATTTTTTTCGTTTTGTTTTGGGATTTTTTTTCGGTTTTCGTCCGGGCCAGCAAAATGTCGTATTTTACTGCATTTTCTCGCGAAATTTCCGCATTTTGCACTAGCTCGTCAACATCCCCAGCATCGTTTTCAACATCCCCCGCATGTCCGACCAACATCCCTAGCATCACCAACAAATCGTGGGTAACAAAATCCAAAAATGTAGCTGGCGGGTTGACGGGGTCAAAACAATGATGCTTCAAACAGGAGGGCATTTCAATCCCAGCAAAAAAATACAAAAAAACAATTAAGAAAAACAGAGCGGGGTAGTGATGATTCGAACAGGGGTGCAATTAAATCTCTGCAAAAAGTCTAAAAAGTAGCGGGGAGGTTGGAAGAATTGATGTTTCAACCAGGGGTGCAATTAATTAAATCTCTGTAGAAAATCTAAAACGTAGCGGGGGGGTTGGGGGGGGGCGGCAGCCCCCCCATGATGTCGGAAGAAGTGGTGATTCAAGTAGGGGTGCAATGATTCAAGAAAGGGTGTGATAGAATTTAAAAGGCAGCGGGAGGGTTGGCGGGGGTGGCTTCCCCTATGATGTTCGAAGAAATGCATACATACAGACATACACGGACTACACAGATTACCTAAAATGTCGTATTTTGCAGCATTTTCTCGCGAAATTGGATGCTCGAAAAAGTGATGATTCAAACAGGGGTGCAATTCAATCTCTGCCGGGCCAGTAAAGTGTCGTATTTTACAGCATGTTCTCGCGAAATATACCCCGCATGTCCCACCAACATCCCTAGCATCACCCACAAATCGTGTGACGGGGTCAAAGAAATGATGATTCAAGTAGGAGGGCATGTCAATCCCAGAAGTGATGATTTGAATAGGGGTGCAATTAAATCTCTGCAAAAAGTCTAAAAAGTAGCGGGGGGGTTGGGGGGGGCGGCAGCCCCCCCCATGATGGTTCAAGAATTGATGATTCAACTAGGGGTGCAACCCCCCCATGATGTTCGAAGAATTGATGATTCAACTAGGGGTGCAATTAATTAAATCTCTGTCGAAAATCTAAACGTAGCGGGGGGGGTTGGGGGGGGGCGGCAGCCCCCCCATGAGGTCGGAAGAAGTGGTGATTCAAGTAGGGGTGCAATGATTCAAGAAAGGGTGTGATAGAATTTACAAGGCAGCGGGAGGGTTGGCGGGGGTGGCTTCCCCTATGATGTTCGAAGAAATGCATACATACAGACATACACGGACTACACAGATTACCTAAAATGTCGTATTTTGCAGCATTTTCTCGCGAAATTGGATGCTCGAAAAAGTGATGATTCAAACAGGGGTGCAATTCAATCTCTGCCGGGCCAGTAAAGTGTCGTATTTTACAGCATGTTCTCGCGAAATATACCCCGCATGTCCCACCAACATCCCTAGCATCACCCACAAATCGTGTGACGGGGTCAAAGAAATGATGATTCAAGTAGGAGGGCATGTCAATCCCAGAAGTGATGATTTGAATAGGGGTGCAATTAAATCTCTGCAAAAAGTCTAAAAAGTAGCGGGGGGTTGGGGGGGGGCGGCAGCCCCCCCCATGATGGTTCAAGAATTGATGATTCAACTAGGGGTGCAACCCCCCCATGATGTTCGAAGAATTGATGATTCAACTAGGGGTGCAACTAATTAAACCTCTGCAGAAAATCTAAAACGGCAGCCCCCCCCATGATGGTTCAAGAATTGATGATTCAACTAGGGGTGCAACCCCCCCATGATGTTCGAAGAATTGATGATTCAACTAGGGGTGCAACTAATTAAACCTCTGCAGAAAATCTAAAACGTAGCGGGGGGGTTGGGGGGGGCGGCAGCCCCCCCCATGATGTCGGAAAAACGCCACCTGCCGAAGAGGAACTGGGAATGCAGAGGATGCGAAAAGCCAAAAAGCCACCAAAAGCCGCATAAACCAGCAAAAAGCCGAAAAGCCTAGAAGCCCAGAAGCCGAGAAGCCAAGAAGCCGAAAAGCCGAAAAGCCAAGAAGCCAAGAAGCCAAGAAGCCAAGAAGCCAAGAAGCCCAGAAGCCGAGAAGCCGAGAAGCCAAGAAGCCAAGAAGCCGAAAAGCCAAGAAGCCAAGAAGCCGAGAAGCCGAGAAGCCAAGAAGCCAAGAAGCCAAGAAGCCAAGAAGCCAAGAAGCCAAGAAGCGAAAAAAAAACAAAAAAAAAAAACGAAAAAAAAATCCTAAAATAAATACCCCTCCTTTTGTCTTGCTGTTGAGTGCATCGAAGGTTGCCCATGCCCGGGACAATCATGGAACTTAGCGTCATGAAGCTTGCAGAGGTTCGCTCCGGCTGATCCACGGCGCAAAATCAATCCTGCCTTCCGGAAAATGCACGACCCCCTCAAAACGGCCGTTTTTCCAAACCCTCCCCCAAAGTCAAAGCCAACTAATCTCCAACTGCAGTTGGATTAGGGCCCCCCCACGCTCTCACTCTTCTGCTTGTTGCAGTAGCCACTGCCGCAATCCCATGTTTTGTTCAATGCCTGAAAATCAAAGTGTTCCTTTTCGCACGAAAACACAGCTGCACAAGGGGTGCATCCTGAAACGCTCTTGCAGCTGGGGAAGGAAATGCCCCATTTCGCAGGAAGAGTCGTAAATTCTGGGCTCGCCCAACAAGACGCGACGTGCTGAATGCCTCACATGACTTGCACTTCGCTGCCTCTTTTCAGCGACTCCCACGTGAAAAGTTTTTCGACCCCGGCGCTTCAGTTCTGAGGCTGGGCTCCTTCGGGGCCCAGAACGACGCATAAGCCCCGTGCCCATGTAGTAGGGCTGCGGGTGCTGCTCGCAGCCTCGGGTTTACGCGTGGAACTTTCGCTTGGAGCTTCGCGGCTTCGCGGCTGCGACGCGTAGTCAAAACATTTGGCTGGGGGTCAAAAATGGGGTAAGCCCAAAATGGCTTGCCCTGGAAAATGGAAACATGGGTTCTGAAACCTGCGAAATAGGTACCTGAAATGGCTTGCCCTGGAAACATGGGTTCTAAAACCTGCGGTCTGGTGGTAGAATGCTTTGACCCATACCCGTTTATTTTATGCTTTCCAACATGGCACCTGTCAAAAGGCACAAAGATCAGTTGGACCTGTCAGGTGCCATGTTGCAACGTGGGAGAAAGATGATACCAGTGCTTGAAATTCACGGACTGAAAGTGTTCACTGGACATGAGCTTGCCAGTTTCTGGCTGCTGCGCTTTCCCCGACTTCTTGACTTGCCCCTGTCATTTTTCGATGGTTTCTGCTGTTTCTCACATGGACGCGAGTCGGGCTTCGACAAAAAGCGCTTAGATAGGCAGACTCCTTTACATGCGTGGGCACCCGACCAGTTGCTGGAAAGGGGAGAGGTTCCATGGTCACTTTGGCCTGGAAAAACAATCATCGTACACTGCTTATCAAACGGGCCCCAGTTTTGACCCTTGGCCAAAAAATACACTCCTCCAAACAGGCTTCGCACTTTGAGTAGTAATTGGCGCACATGAGACAAAATCGGTGGTACCGTGGTACCCGTTTTGGGCTTGTTTCAAGCAAAACAGCAAAGGGAAACCAACCATTGGGGAAGTAGTTCGCATCATTGAATAATCTCTACTTGAGCATAACCCAATATGAAACTAGTTGATTTGATTGAAACCATCAAACGGAATGGTCAACATATGCCGTTCTCGAAAGCAATATGACGATAAGAGCGAGCCCCATGGCTCTTGTGGGTCTTTTTTGAGAGAGTCTCTCGCTGTTCCCTAAAAGTGGACTACGGACTTCTGGATATCTTGACAGAACCTCTACAGCGGCTTGAAGGTAAAGAAGATGTCGAAACCAAAATGAGGGATCGATGCAATCTGCTTCAACTTGCACTATCTGGGCAAATCATTGGAATTCACACACCAGCAGCAAGACATCCCCAAGTATCTGAGGGCTTTTGTATTACACCCTACCCTGGGATTACACCCTTGGGAAATGACCCAGAATGGTTCAAAATAACAATATATATATATATATGTTAATTAAATAAACAAAAACAACACATACATCCGGAAATGTGCCTAAATGTGGGTGTATTCCCCTTTGCGTAATATACAAACCCGTGGAAAGTAAGAGGCCTTCAGAGCCGACGTTCGAAATGTCCAGTTGCATCCTAGCCCGGAGAGGCTGGGAGCCCGGCATCTGGCCATGAGCTTCATCATGGGCACAAACACCGCGGAGGTGGGTGCGTACCTTTGGTGCACCGCTTGACCAGGAGAAATAATCCGTCTGCACCAAATCAATGCATGAATATATACACAATGCATGTATTGGTTGAGCCAACATAGATATTCATGCATGTATACGAGCCACGGTCAAAACTATGTGCTAAACGTGTACTCATTCCATTGCAGTGAGTTAACTTCTGGCCTGCTGAAAGGGCACAATTGCAAGGGTGTCGTATTGTTCGTGAGTCACCTCTCGTTTTCCATGTGAGTTAGCAAAGCATATGGAACCATGACACGAATTGCCCCCCTAAATCTTCATGAGGGTAACGTGGACCCTTCTCATGTACATATTACATGCGTGTATACATATAGGATGCTATATACAATATGCTACCGGTTTCAAGCGCTTGCTGAACTGAGGAACACCGAAGTTTTGGCTAAGGCCCCAGGAAAGCAACAACAACCATATTTCCAGTAGTGACGAATTCATTAATTCATCTAAAAACCAACAAGGGAGAATAGAACATATTCTTAAGCAAATGGAGGAAGACCAGAGCAGCATGGACAGACTGCGGTGTGTTCAGCACTTAAAAACTTGCTTGCACAGTATGTACCCTCCCACCCTTGTCACATGGAACCTGACAGGGGTCCCTGTAAAAAGGAAAAGGTTCAAACCAAGACTCCCTAAACGTCAGCTTCCACGTTAATGGGTAGGGTACCGCTTCCTGGGGCTTCAAATCCTGGGCAAATGGAAGAAAACTCCTGGCAGCGTTCAATTCGGGGCAGCAAACAACTTGGCACCCCCTGCAAGTTCGCCTCGGCCCCAAAGGGGCCAAGGGCGCTCAGATCTCTTCTCCAAAGAGAATCTTCGCTTTTCCCAACCAAAATTTTGCCGGCCCCCGCCCCCCAACCCATGTCGGCTGGCCCAAAATCCTGTCCGGCGGGCCTTGAAATTTTCGGGTTCCATGGGTCCATTTTTGTCGAAAATGTGCTGACAATTGCTAGAAAATTGCTTTTTTCTCCTGAGAAGCATGATCTCCAGGCCAGCCCAACCAGCAACCGCCTGCTGGCCAGGCCTGTCAGCCCAGCCCACCCAGCCTCAGGCCCAACTTGCCTGAAACACCCCCAGCAACAGCCTGCCCAGCCCCGGCGCATCTCAGAGCATGCCAGCCACTAGGCCGGCCCCCAGCTCCCAGCCCGCCAGCAGGCTCAGTCCAGCGTGCCAAGGTCAGGTTTGAGACTAGCCTCAGGCCCAGTCCCTCAGCCCGCCTGCTGGCGTGTCTTACGTGTCTGCGACTGGCCTCAGGCCCAGCCCAGCCAGCTCGCCACCCAGCCTCAGGCCCAAGTGTGTCTGAAACAGGCCTTGCCCATCCAGCAACCCGCCAAAGCACAGCTCAGCCCAGCCCACCCATCGCAGCCTGAGACTAGCTTCACGCCCAACCCAACCAGCAACCCACCTCAGCCCAGGCATCTCAGGGTATGCCAGCCACTAGGCCGGTTCCAGCTCCCAGCCCACCAGCAGGCTCAGCCCAGCGTGGCCTCAGGCGCAGTCTCACGTGTCTGAGACTGAGCCTGTCTGACGTGCCCCAGCCCCTCAGTCCGGCTGCCAGGCTGGCCAGGCCTTGACCTCCTGCTCGCGTCTCGCCCCCCAGCAGGCCCAGCCCCTTCAGCGCAGTCTAGACTGGTTTCAGTCCCTCAGCCCGCCTACTGGCGTGTCTTACGTGTCTGCGACTGGTCTCAGGCCCAGCCCAGCCAGCAACTCGCCACCCAGCCTCAGGCCCAAGTGTGTATGAAACACAACCCGCCCAAGCACAGCTCAGCCCAGCCCGCCCAGCCCAAGTTCCAGGCGCAACCAGCAGCGTAGTCCGGCAGCAACCCACCCATGGCTTCGCAGCCTTGTGGCTGAGACAGCAGGCTCAGCCCAGTGTGCCAGGTCAGGTTTGTCGAACGTGTCTGAGACTGGCCTCAGGCCAACGACCAGTCTCACGTGTCTGAGACTGGTCTCAAGCTACGCCAGCTACTAAGCCCAGGCTGGCCAGGCCTTGACCTCCTGCTCCAGCCAGCAACTCGCTACCCAGCCTCAGGCCCAAGTGTGTATGAGACAGGTGCCCGGAAAACAGGCGAATTCCATCCCGCCGAGCTTGTCACCGCTTGTCACCGCTTCGTCACCGCTCTCTTTTGGGCCGAAAAGTGCGCAAAAGCGGCCAAGTTCCCGAGTTCCAGAGGACTTCGTTAGTCTTGGCAAGTTTGAGTCAAGAATGGAACGGGCTGATTCATTAATGGGCAAGGTTGGTTCATTAATGGACGGCCGCAGGTGGTGCAGAGACATAACCACTGAGACAAGGGAGCTTTCGTACTTGGAAAAGCGAGACCGGCTCCGCGGCTTCGGTCTAAAAGTCCACCGCAGCCAGCAACTGAGACTAGCTTCAGGCCCAGCCCAACCAGCAACCCGCCTAAGCAAACCTCACCCAAGCCCACCCTGTTTCAGACTCGCAGGCCTCAGCCTATCTAGCGCCGAGACTGGGCCTCACCAGCCTGGGCTCAACTAGCGTCTAGCCCAGTTCGCCTGCTGGCCAGGCCTGTCTGACGTGTCTGAAGCTGGCCTCAGGCCCAGCCCAGCCGTAGCCCAGCCCCCTCCGTGCGGCCAGCCCGCCGTAAACTAGCTTCAGGCCCAGCTCAACCAACAACCCACGCAAGCAAGGACCAGCCAAGCTGCCCGAGACTGTCCGAGCAGGACGGCTTCCGAACATCGAACTAGCACGGGCGAACTGGTGCGGTCACAAGCTTTCAGTAGGATTCGGACCTTCCCAACACTGGATTTCGGTGTTCCTGACCCTTCCCTCAAACTAGGCTGGGCCGAGGCGGGCAGCGCGAAGCGTTTACAATTAGCTGTTTTCTGGTGAAGGGAAGCTGAAGGAAACTCAAGATTTCCGTCCGGCAGTCCGGCAAAGGCACCCACTAAGCCTCAAATGGTCAATGAGTCAATAAGCCAGTCACCGCAACGCTGGCCTACAAAAAAGTAACCAATTTGCGGCGACATATCTCGGATGGCATTGAGGCAGGTGCTCCCGAGAGAAGCCCAAGATATAGCCTGAGTCGAACATGAAAACAAGTCACACTGAAACAACCACGGACATGAATCTGAATTTTGGTTGGGGACCAATTGGTGAAAATCATTTAGGCGGAGATCTATGTCACCGACCACTTTTGAGCTGGTTCCTACTCTCAAACAACATGGCCATGTGGCAGAGAGTCACACCTTCCAGCTAGCCACCCCTCCACAATTGGTCGCAAGCAAATCTTGGTACAAGGGATCTTGTAAAAAAAAAGTCAAGGTCGACCGTGTTCCGCAAGACCTTTCTGGGGGGAGCCCTCCAATTCATCGGTTGAACACCTGGCACACGGGACTTCTTTTTTTGTTGGGGGGAAACCTCGGGACTACAGTACCCAAAGGGGCTTTTGCACAATAACTCTCTAGTTGGGACGCTCGTTCCCCAGGGACTGAAACTGTGACTCAATCCTTGCGAGTTGCTTGGCCATCTCAGATCTTCGCCCATCTGGCACCAGAATTTGAAATGCATCTTGCAATTGTCACACCCAATTTCAGGGTGATACCTTGAAGAGAAGCATTTTTTAAGTTTCCGACTTTTGATATCCCCGGAAACAGCTCGACTTCATCTCCGAAGTGCTTCCCAGTCCCTGGGCCCGCTTCAAGCACGGAGCCTGGAAGGGGCTTGTGCTTTCAAACAAACCTCTTGATCAGATACTCGTTGAGAGGATGATCGGATGTGCAGTGAAATGCCACGGTTTGTTGCAACAAAGGAAGAAACTGGGATCACATCCGTCGAAGAATTGCAGACTGACTGAAAGTGAAGGACATGTAAGGCTGCATGAAGGCAGTTCCGCGCATCGGATGGCACATGGTCCAATCAGTCCAACGTGCGTGGTGCTTCGGGCACCATGGTACAACATTGGAGCCTCGGAGGCATGCTGAAGCAAACAGCAAAACACGACACGCCTGTTTCATGCGCTGGCTATTAGCGGAGACAAGAGCGGGGTGTGCTTTCTGCCAGAAACATCTGAGACACATTGCATGTTAAGTTATCGCCAACACAACAACAAAGGAGCGTCAAAGCAGCACCGAAGGAGCAATCCTACGCTCATGACCTTGACCAAAACTGCTCTTCACCCCAGGCAGTGTTACTATACAAAGCCATGGATGATAGTGATAGATTTGGGCCAGTCTTTGATTGAAGGACTCCTCTTGCTGTGGGGGTGATTGCTTCCTCCTTGGTTGACCTCCAACAACCTCCCAAAGGAGTCCGTCTTTACCTCCGCTCGAGAGGAATTCGTAAACGGTCTTCATCGGTCTTCCTTGCCCCCCCTCCCCCCCACTTTCGCAACGAGAACAGATCGTCGGAACCCTTGACCACTTGCTGAGTCCTCACTTCTGGCCGAGTATCTAGATTGAAGTGGTGTTCTAGCCTAGGTCCTCCAGTAGAGAGGCTAGAATAAGGGTAACCCTTTTTCGGAAGTATATTTTTAGTATGGAAAAGCTTGCACTACTGGGGGACCTAGTAGCAATCCCCTGGCCCCGTCGGAAGTTCTGAGACAGGGGCTGAAGGCCAAGCAGACTTGCTCCATCAGCTCCTGCGTCGCGAAATCGTTTTGGGATGCGCCCTTGGCCCCGAATGCTGAAACTGATTCTGACAATGAATCGGGACATGTGTCAAAGTAGGGGACCCCCAAAATGGGTGTCCCCTGGAATTTCCTTCTAAACCGCCCCAAAAAGGGTACCCTCACAAAAACGTGACACAGTGGGGTATGGTCAAAGGATCAAGGGTTCATTCACAAGGACCCATCTACTTCCCGCTGACTTATGCTGACTTGACACTAACTTGCGTGCTTTAGTACGGCCTGTCTTCGTCTCCGAGCCGACGGGTTTCGATTAAAGCGCAGGAAAACGAAACCATGGGATTCACCGTGGGACTTGATCTTGACAAACTACCGGGTATTTTCCATGCAAGTCAACCCCTTCTCCTCTATCAGACTCACGTGGATCCTAGGAGGTTGGGCTCGCTCACGCGTGAGATCACAAGCCCTGGACAGCCGCGGTATCTCCGGCGTTCCAAACCAACATAGGCCTCTCCACAGCACCGCCAACTGCCGTCGCTGCCGTAAAGTGCGGCAGTGTTCATTTCGTCGCCCAAAGTTAGGGCAGTCCGTCTCCCAACCAAAAAGAGGAAAGTTGAGCTTCCTTTTGGTCGCCTTACACAACACCACCCCCTTGGATGTGACTTCATAACCATCGTGAGTCCCGCCCATTGAACAGACACAACCACATTGGCACAAGCAAACAGGAAGCTCCTCGTAGTGGGTATGGTGGATGCAAACCTGAGCTGAATCTGATGTCAAGCGCGCCGGACAGGCGCTTAAGCCGCTTGGTCAATCTAACGACTGCCCCAAGTGAATCACAAAATGCTTGGAATGAGGGATCCCAAGCCTCGTTGAAAGAAATGCTGCCTTGAGTGATTGTCCCAACTTCATGGCGACAAACGCTGTGCCCCCCCCCCCCATGTGCCATTGCCACAACTCGTGCAGGGCATGGTTCTCTTAGTAGGAACCCTTCTAACGATGGTCGAACTTCCACTTAACTAAGGGGTTTGTGACCAGCCCGACAAACCCCAAGTGAATGGTTTTTAGGACTTTTTAGGTCAAGCCACCCCCTCGTCTCGCTGAAGTCTGGATAGCTCCTGACTCTTCACGCCACCCGCGGCTCTAGTTCCCTGCCTGTTCAAACTTGGAACGGCACTGCCGGTCGACTTGTTTCTGCCAGTCTCAAAGAATTGCACATCTCTGGACACATTGCCTGCCAGGTCAGTTCAGCTACATCCAGACTTTTGAACACCAATCAATGGCCGTTTCCCGGTTTGCGATCTTCGGCCGACCCGTATGCTTCTCTTTCATGGGCACGCATCCGCCCATCCAGCTCAAAAAAGCGCATTGTTGAGCATGGTCTCCATACATTGTAGTATCCCTTGTCCTCCCTTTGGGCAACATGGGATCATTATTTTGAGAACCAACCAGAGTGAATCAGAGGAAGGGGAGGGGGAGGGGTACAGTACCAGGATTTCAAAAGTGCTGTGGGGTTCCATTGAAACTGCCACTTTGGGAGGTCCAAAAAAGGGACAGCGAGGGACCCCTCAGGGACAGGTGGAATCCTAGGAATAAATGGCATGAGATCCCGGCACGCTCAATGGTAGCGAAGTGCTTCTCCACCACACCCAGAACTGGGTGGTGGTCTGCTGGGCCAAGCAAGGGATCCTGGCCGTCGAAATGGGAACCCCAACTAGGTCCTCCAGTAGAGAGGTTAGAACAAGGGCGCCCGAGTTTTTTCTGTAGTCTATTTTAGTAGGGGAACCCTCCCCCAAAAAAGGGCAAAAGGGCACCACTGGGAGACCTAGCCAAGGAAAAGAATCGAAGCCCAACTCCTCCAACTTGATTTGCCTGTTTTCGGGACCTTCGTTTCATCTCTTGGCGAAGGCCAAAAAGACGGATTGGGGAGGAAACGCAGGGCTAGGACCAAGAACCGGATTCATCATGCTTTGGTTGATTCGGGGGTGTCCGATTCAGGAGGGCAGCCTTCACTTTTCCCGGAAACCCCGGGACGAGTTCGCCAGGTTCATCGATCTTGCTGAACTCTGGATCAACAAGGCCCTGGTGCTACTCCGAAAAGGGGCAAATATAAGGGGACAAAATGTTCGCACAGCTGGGGCGAAGTCAGGAAATACCCCCACTCAGCCCCGGAAACAAAAAAACAACCCGTACATGGCAAAACTGGTTTGCGGTCGGGCACGATGCAAATGGATAAAGTGATTGACAGCGACTCTCGCGCGTGAAGAGAACATGAACTAGCCCCTGCAAATCGCCGGGCAATTCGACAAGCGCTAACTTTTCTGCCACCCTTCAAACATAATTTTCTAGGGTTCCCTGAAACAGTTGGTCTTGCCAGCATCTTCATGCCGCGCTCAACATGCTCAGTCCCGCGGCGGCATGTTGTACACGCTGGAGACCTAAACGGGCGGCTGAGAGGTGAAGGCGGGCGCAAGTGCGTGTTGAACGGCCATCTCATATGTCTATAACTTTGAATTGGTTCGCGCACGACATTGACACGAATATGACTGGCTACATTTGGGAAACTGCAAAAAAAACAACTTCTTGTGGGTTCAATGAAAATCCACTGCTTTCCAAAAGCTAAAGTCCAAGGATCCAACCAACTAGCCATAAAGGCAGCACACTCATGGCCATAACCAAGCAACAACCATGAGAAGCAAAACAGTTGAATAAACAACAAGCACCGGCAAAACAACAAGCACCGGCAGACAGACAAGAAACAATGCACAAACTGAAATGGCAGCCTTGCCAATCAAGTCAGTCTTAGTCATCTGCATCTGGTTTCTCCCCCTCCAAAGTGACACGGAGCTGCCACACCAACTATGGTTAGTCGGGGTCTGGCCACTCCTCAATCTGCGTTTTATGCAGAAAAGGGTAAGAAGAAGCTCATGTCCATCCTCTTTCCCCCAACAAGAACTGAGCATGTAACCCAACGTAGGACTGCCGGAGATCACTGCTTTGTTCAAGGGTCGCTTACTCGCTTACTCTTCTGTAGTCTATTTTAGGGCAACCCTCCCAACCCAAAAAGGGGTGAGAAAGGGCACCTACTGTAGCTGGGGGACCTAGCTGGGCACGCCAAACATCAGAGGTGCAACCATAGGTGTCCTTTTTTCGAAACCCATCAGTTGGCTAAAACGTTAAAGTCCTAACATCCCTTGGCAAAATGCACCAAAGAATTGGGGACAGTACCCACGTCATCCAACTACTCTACGGGTTGATTCCCCATTCTTTCCAACCGTCGTTCTTTTCAAAAGCCAGCTATTTTCTCTGGGTTTCCGGAGGCTTTCTAGAAAGAAGGATCCCTGGACAGGGTTTGGACATGGAAGGTAGCACCTTCGAACGCTGGTCATCCCCACCGGCCGGTCACATGGCAAACGGCGGCCCTCGGCCCCTCGGCCCCCCGCTGAGGCGATGTACAACTTCAGCTCCACCGGCGCCTTGCCGTCCCGGGTGGTCTTCACCTGGCAACGGAACGAGACCCGGGGCTTGGGGGGGGGGGTTTGCCGTCGAGGGCAAAAAGGCTACGCATTTTTGGGGTTGGCACCTGGAGTTTCTCCATGAGCCTTGAAAACATGGGGGTCACTACGCAAAAGAAAGGGGTGCTGATGACATGCTTGAAGATCATGGAGACTCCAAGGAGCTGATTTTAATGGGAAGCCTCTCCCGAAGCAAGCTGAAAAAAAACATGCACATGTCTGGGTGACGTCAGTGAACAACAGCAGAGCTTCATTGGAATCATAAGTCGCTTCCAGCGTGGATAGGCCAAATCACAGGCCACGTGAATTTCTTTAAACCAACCCCTGGGTCCTCAAAACTGCGTAAGATTGTCAAGTCACTTGCGTGGATTAGGCAAAACAAGTCTGACAACTCTACTTGAAACAGAACCATGACCAAAGGATTGCTGCTTCCATTTGCTTCTTACGTTCGTCAACTTGGTCTCGTTGAGTATTTGCACAAACACCTTGCACGAGACCTTTGGCTCCCAACCTTACCCCTTAAAACTCCAAGCCTTGGGGAAGTTAATCTTTTACAGACATATAGGCCATGTTACCCCCAAACAGTTGAAAAGTTGTGTTTTTAAGAGGTAAGCAACCCTGCATTCTAAGGGCTTCTTCCCGGGTATGTCTACAATGTACACATTCCAAACCAGAATGATTCTCGGTGGCAAGCTCCGCACTCCCTCCAGCGCTCCCGCTTAAGTCGTGGAGAGCGCACCGCGCGGGATCCCAACCTGGCGGGATACCAGCTCCCGCGACCCGCGACCCGGGAGCCCAGTGCCCAAAGAATGCGGAAATCCCGTGCTACTCGTAAAAAAACATGCGGGGGATGGGACGAGCCCCTATTCAAATCAACTGAGTGATTCATCCTGTGTGCTACACAAAAAGTCCCCATGTAGCATTCCTCTCGCCGCATTGCGAGCATTTGCGCCGACCCAAGCGAAACCAGCTGCCATCCAAAATAAAGGGGTCCCTTCAAAGAAAGCCTCATATGGGGGTGTTTTGTTTTCCTTTTTTTGGGGGGCCCCCAAGCTGCTGGTTTACCTTTTGGCTTCCATAAAACCACCCAAGATGGGTATCCGCAAAAACAGACGTCTATTCCCCGTAGCCAAACCGATCACCTTTTCACCGGTAAACCGATGGCCCAAGGAGCGATCTGGTAGGTAAACGGATATCAGGACCGATCTGGCATTGCCTTTTGCCTTCAGTGGCGACCGGGTTCCTTAAAGCATGCATCCAAAAACCAACTGCTTTACACGGGATCCTGTGTTGGTAAAGCTGATTTCTTTAGCCAAATTTTTAGTTGAACTGTATCCTTTGAGGTCCCGATTTCCTTCTTCTGGGGCACTCGGTCTCAGAGCTGTGTCCAACCTTCACCCCAACACCTTTGAACCTTGCCAACTCAGCCCAAGCGTAGTAGAACCAGAGTATCATTTGGATCTATCCCATGGGATCGATCCCACAAGGGCGAAATCCATTGAGCCACTCAAGTTACGGCACAAAGGGAGATGCAAGGGTTCCGAGCCATTGCCCTTAGGGAACCTTCAACAGTGCGCAACCCATCAGCAAATTGATCAACATTTGATTTGGGGAAGTCCAGGGAGCCTCTAAACTAAATGATGTTTTCGACCACGGGACCCAACTCGATGCCAAGTGGCGGCTCAGCTGGCAGGCTGCCGAGGATGGGCTGGATGGGCCTTCGGCCAATCGGCTCTGAGTGTCCTCATTACGGTTCCACCAAGACATTGGAAAATGAGTGTCCCTGGATTTTGTGGGGAAATTTGGTGAATTCCCAGTGTAATTACCTACCATCGACTACCAGTGTTGACCAAACCTCCAGGGAACCATTCAAGTAACCCCGCAATTCGGAGGCTAGCTGATGTTTAGGACGAATTGTTCAGTGGCGGCCCCTTTTCATGCTTTGGGCTTTCCCCTTTGTAGGAAAGCTGGATTCTCCTGCTTGTCTTTACATGATCTCTTTTGCTTTGGCGAAGCCTCACGCCTTCACAAGAGTAGGGGGTTGATTCTCCTTACTGTTCAACCATCCTTTGGTGCAAAAACAAAAAGCTAAAATTCCCCTTGGTTGCCGCGCAACAAATATTTCGGCACAAAAAGGATCCATCCATTCGCACAGACTCAGAGGCCGCGTCTCGCTCAACTTGACATTCTCAAAGTTGTCCTCGGAATGTTGGTTTTACGGAAGACCACCAGCGAGATTTCGAGACGCCCTCAAACAGCGCTGTCTCAAAAAAAATACGGGACCCCCAGAAATGGTGGCCGGTTTCCCTTTGGGTTTCCCCTTAAAACCACAAGGCTACCAAAGAACAGGTCGACCCATGGTCACTTGAAGGGGCACTTGAAGCTGAGAACTGGCAACTAAAACGCTGGTTCGTGCATAGATGTGCATTCCCTTTTCGATACAAATCCTGGCATTTGGGGGAACCCCCTAAATTGATCTACAAAGGCTGTGAAGCATCTATGCACAGTTCATGTTAGTATTACATAATCCTGGGCAACAGCTCAACCAGATCTGGGTGGCTTGTGTAAATGCCTCTCGGCTGCATGTCATCACCACTAAGTTCCACGATTCATCCTGAGCGGGCGCCCATAAACATCTCAGTCTCTGCAAATCCTGTCTTGGCATACGCCAAGAAGCCGAGCACCGTCATTGAAGTCAAACACCTTGAGTCGGAGGAGATGGAGTCCGATGCGCTCAAACCCGTAGCGACACACCGCACGCAGGAGTCGACGAGTGCCTGCCCCCGCCGGCCGCTTGCCGAGGGATCTATCAACGCCCGACTGTGGCTGAATTATCCTGCGCATGGCCCAGAACTTGGCCAGTTTTCACGTCCACCCATTTGAAAAGGTAACGGCTGGGCTCTCTTTTTTCTCTGCTTCCGAAAGATCCTGCATGAGCTGTTCTGCGGTCAGAGGAAACTGATACAGCGGTCCCGCAAACGTCATCAAGGATCGTGCGTCGGGGATCCAGCTAATCAGCTGTGGAACATCAGACTCGGTGAACGGAAGCAGTTCGCAAGCAGGAGCAGCGTCACATTCTGGAGTCTCCTTGGCATTCGACTTCTGCTTCTGGGGCGATTCCATCGGCATTCGACGCTCATCAGGTAGACATGAGACAGCTATGAGCGAGCGCGATCCCTCTTCCCGGTCTCTTCACGAGCTGCGTTTTCCACATGCATGCAGTGAATGAAAGAGGGACTTGGCACACACAAAGATTCACACAATGAATCCGTGCAAGAAGGCATGTATCATGTTCAATACTTGCGTATAGCAATCAGTAGGATATTATGGTCAACACAGATGCCACCTGCAAAGCTCAAGGTGCGCGCAGGGGGACGTGCACGAGGAATAGACATGAAACAGTCTAGAAGCTCAAACAAGCAAGCCAGTTCTGGTGGATAGAGTAGCGAATGGGGTGAATGGATTTTCATTGATCCGTAGGACCGTACCTACAAGGCGGCCGAGCTGCAATAGCTTGGCTTGTTTGTTATGTGTCCCTGGCTGTCAGGGGCTTCAATGGATCTCAGTTGGCATCTGCTTGGCAAGTCATTGGCACTTGGCCCGGTGGACTCAGGGTTTGCCCCCTCAGCTCGGCTCATCAGCTCATTCAGCATCGAAAGGTCTTGACCCCAAACCATTCTGAAGCGGGAGCGGGGGGGGTTGGTCTTCTGCTCACTTCCTGAGTGGACATCCGAACAGCGCTAAAAGGGCCTTCCCTAAAAGTATGACGTCCAACTTTTCCGGGGCGTTGGTCCTGCGCTTTACAGGCCCCACAGAAGCTCTCAGTTCCTATAGCAACAGTCACGTCTTTTGACCTCTGGGTCTCACTTGATGGCGTCCCTGCTACCATAACCTTGGTCTTGGTACGGCCCCACGGGGAAAATCGGCTCTTGGCTTCGATCGTACTTTGGCAGCTGAATGGCAAGGGAAACCTTCCAGAAACGGAAACCCAAATCCCAGACAGCGGAACCGAATCTCCTGAATCCAACCCTCCCTGAAAGCTGTCAACCATCAGAGCTCATGCGGGCCTGTCGACCGAACAGCTGCTGGGGTCAAGGACATGCGCTACGTGCCTGCCAGCGCCGACCCGGGACTCCCGACACCTCCATGCGAGACACGAACATGCTCAGCGCATGCTCCAGCTCGTTCCAGTCCTGCGCAAGTGTGCCCTTGTGAGGGTACCCCTCTGCATGCTGGTTTGAAGGGAAACCAAAAGGATCAGACACATAATTAATTACCCACTATAAACATGTCTGCGAATGGGTTCTGCCCGCTGTTTATCCAAAGGCATGGCCCACGACACAAGAAAAAGGATATGCCTACCAGGGGGGGGTTCGTATGGACAATTCGGGCCGTCCGTTTGGCACCCCGAAAGGCCCTGGCGTCTTCAGAAATAATTGCACTTTGAGGGCCTAGAATCCATTGAGCGCCGTACGGTGGGCAGGAAGTCGACCCGCAAATGGCCCACAGTGCTGGCCTCTTGGTTTCGCATTGTCTGAGTTGGAAGCAGCGGGAGAAACTTGTATTGCCAGGACACTTCAGACCGATTGCATGATATCAGAGCAGGTAACTCATCCCAACTGCAAGTGAAACGTCCAAGAGCCCTCGATGGGGGATACAGCCGACTGTTGAGCCAGGAAGCTTCAGCTCCGGGAGCTTTCAAGAGAAGCTGCGAATGCCACGACATTCTCCGAATCCGAACGATCCGGGAGACATGAGGAGCTGCCACTGCACAATGCGAAGTCCTTGTGTGCAGAGACTAGGCCACGATGAAAGCTCACGCCTAAAGTAGCCTCATAGCTCACTCCAGTTTGACTGGCGGCGGCGTATTGCAGGCCTCTTGCCACCTACGCCTTGTTGCAGGGAATCAACAGAACAAGCAATCGCAGAACCTCGCAACCGGACAAGCAGCAAGCACGGACTAAAGGCACGAAAGGCGAGAACAAACAAAACAAACAAGCAAAACACAAACAAAACACAAAGCACACAACAAACACAAAACACATCACCACAGCACAAACACAGCTGAGCCCTGGCTCAAACAACCAACACTACGAGCACGAGAAACAAACACAACGGCACAAATCAAGAAACTACACCTCAGTTGCCCAAAGGACCTCAAAATAGAAAGGTCCACCTTTTGGGGCCGTGACTCAAAAGTTGTGTTCAAAACGGGGACACCAAAGGTTGACAAAAACAAGATCGATCCGCTTTGGGCGGAAAGACTAGGTCCTCCAGTAGAGAGGTTATAACAAGGGTACCAACTTCTTCTGTTTCGTCTGTTTTAGTAGGGGAACTCCCAACCCAAGTTGGTGAGAAAGGGCACCTGATTAGCTGGGGGACCTAGAAGAGAAACACCGGTGGGCGGGTCCTGCAGCACTGAGAGCACCTGACCGATGCCGAAGACCAGCTGGGCGCGGCAGTCCACGTTGAAGCGACTCTCCGAGACCTCGAGGTCGCGTCCAGCGAGAGAGGCGCGCCAGGGCTTGGGGAGACAAAAGGGCCTGCTTGAAATTGCTCTTTGATCTCTTTGACCCAAAAAACTCCGCCAAAGGCCCGCTTTTTCGGGGTCCTGGATCAAGGAAGAGGTTGGTTTCTTTTTTCCTACAAGCCCCCGTGACCCTTCAACCAATCGAGGTGATAGCCCCACAGCGATTCAACCCTGAGGTCCATGTCCGTAAACGTCTCCACTTAAACATGAGCGGTCCCGGTTGGTTGGTCCAACGGGACCCACTGAATGAGAAACAGACCGAGTCAATGCATGCGGTTTTCGTTCTACTGTGCCGTCGCCTGGCTATATTACAGCTAGTCATTTTGGTGAATCATCAGATCACTGCACGTTTGATTCCCCACTGTTCAGCAAACAAACAAACACAATTCTCTAGGGGTTGATTCCCCATTATTTTCAAGCATCGTTCTTTTCCAAAACCAGGCGTTTTCCCTGGGTTTCTGGAGGATTTCTATATAAAAAAAGGATCCCTGAAAAGAATGGAATTCGAAGGTACCCCTAGAACTTTGCAATGGATCCCTGCCAGAAGCCTCTTGGTCTTGGTCCCCGGCCAGAGGAATCACTGCGTTCACTACCTCCTTCCACAAAGTGCCCCCGTCCGCCGCCACAATGGTCTTCCTCGCCGCCGTCATCACCTGCCAACCCGTGCTTGAAAAAAACGCGTCCGAGGCCAAGTTAGTAACACGCCGAGAGGGAAACAGAACTATAAAATGGGTGTTTCTCCTTGAGCCTGGGTGACCTTGGGGTTGGTCTAAAGGGAAACCAACAGGAATCCAGCCATTTTGAAAGGTCCAACTCCCAAATTTTGACCCAAGCCGTGCCAAAAAGCACCCAGACCTCACCGCTTCACCACCCCTTCGACCGGTTCTTAACTCGAGAATCGAGCGCGCCATCTTCATGGCGTCGCAGGCCAAAGACTCGCAGTACTTCTTGACGTCGGGGTCCTGGGCCTCGTAACTTCAAATCGAACCGAACAAACGCGTCCGTCCCCTAGGGCCAAAGGAGACCAGTAAAAGAGCTGGCGGAAACCAATGGATTCATTGACTAGGTCCTTCAGTAGAGAGGTTAGAATAAGTTGGTACCAACTTTTTCAGGATGTCTATTTTAGTAGGGGAACCCTCCCAACCAAAAAAGTGGGTGAGAAAGGGCACTCCTGGGGGAACCTAGTTGAACATCTAGAGATGTGTTGATCTTTGGACTCTCCATTTCAAAAAAACAACAAAACAAAAAAACACTGGATTTCCCTGGATGGCTGTTCAAATGAATCGCTTTTTGCCCAGCTGGACTTTGACCACGATGTCATCATCCCATTTCGACGTACCAACGCTCGGACCCATCTCTGGCTCAAGGAAGTCTCCAGGTCCGCGGCAGGCTTCAAGGGCAGAATCCCTGGGAGGTGCTGCAGGGCCAGGAACCGCAAGATCTCCTGCGCTCGAAATCTCGAACTCCAAACCTCTCCGCCTCTAAAACCCATCCGCCTGGGGTGGGTGGAGACCGGTCAGCGCTTAGAGGCGAAAGAAGGACCTGGAAACTGACCTCCCTGCAATCAGGGCAGTTCACTGGAGGCTTTTGGAGGACTGCCTCGCTTTTGGGGAAGCCCCCGATCCACTTTGATTGCTGGAGAGAGGGGGTAACTTTAGTATTTCTGCCGGGGGAAATGAAGGCAACCCGGTTCAGTGCGGGAAAGGAGGCCCAAAGAGCTGAATTCTGCCATGAAAGCCCATTCGTAGCCAGTGGTGGGCAAAAACACAGTTAAGAAAACCAACCAAACATGGAGCAACCCATAGAGATGATACTTAGCGACCCTTGAAAGGAAATTCCTCTCATTCTTCTTTTTCTGGGGTGAGGTTCTGCGATCTGCTGGTTCTGCGATCTGCTGGTTCTGCGATCTGAGGTTCTGCGTTCTGCGATCTGCGATAAATCCATAGGGACCCGGAAAGAAAGGAGTTGCCAGACCAGGCAAAACACCGTCATGTGGTGTCCCGTGTCTTTTGTGGCAAACGAACGTGAATATTACCTTGATATCTCCCAACCTGAAAGCGGCTGGCTCTAGCTGGCTCGCTGCCTGTGTGTTCGAGCTAAAGGCTGTGCTAGAGATATGCCCGCCAGTGGTAAGACATGCTCCTGAAGGTATAATCTTATCCACATTGTCTTTAAATCAGAAAGCACAGGCGGACAAGCTACCAGTTTCACCAGTGCGGCTTAGGAGTGCTGCGTCATGGCATTACACCCCTCCAAAGTGATGATTCCCTACCAAACCCACCCCCGTATGAATCAACTGGTTGGTTGATTTATGGGGTCAACATTACCTTGAAACAAATGACTATGTCCTCCAGTAGAGAGGTTCAAATAAGGGTACCGTTTCTTTTTTCTGCAGTCTATTTCAGTAGGGGGGTTCCCCTTCCAACCAAAATACACAAAAAACAACTACTAAATCCCTGTGTCAAAACCCACCCACTTTCCATGAGGGGCCCTTCGAAGGCCCCCAAAAAAGGTTGGTGAGAAAGGGCGCCACTTGGTTGACGTTGGAAGGGGAGCATATATATATATATATATATATAAACTTTAGCAGTTTAAGCAAAATGTACAATGTTTCCCAACAACAAGCATGACCAATGGCTGGGGACCGAGCCCAACTTGAACCACAGGTGAGCCCAGCCCGCAGCTCCTTACAGGGCGCCGGGTTGAGCGCCAGGTAGCCTGCGGATCGGATTGCTAAGAACGCCCTCGGATCGCTCCCAGGCGTCAAAGACATCGTGGGCCCAGGTCTATTTTTGGAGAGTACCCTGTTTATCTAGTTGCTTCTTCTTTTTATTAAAAAATCACAAGGAAATTCCGAAGTCCGTTTTGGGGGGTTCAAAAAGAAACTGACCATGAGAGACTCACGTGTCCCCTGTTGTGTGCAGAAAATTTGGGTGAGTCCTCCCTCTAAATCCGAAGCTGTGAGCTGGAAACCACAAAGATTGCTACAAGCTGCTGGAGCAAAAAGCAGGGAATGACCTTCCGGGTGTTGACAATAAACCTAGGGATCCCCTTACAGGCAACCACAAGGGATGCTTTTCTTCAGGTTATTCCAACTCTCATTCCCTGCCTGCCATTGCAGAACCGTTTTTTTTTCATCTCAACCATTCGGGCTGGACCTCCATTTGCTGAAGCCCCCTGGAAAAAAAATAATATATGTCCAGTAGTGAAATCGACTCCCTTTAAAACCAACAGGGGAACATCGATTACATATTCTTGACCCGCTGGAAGATGGGCCAAACCGCGGATTTTCCTTTTCGGAGACTTCAAGCGCCAACGCCTGCCACCAGCTTCGGCCGGTTCTCCGTCGCAACCCCCGAGGTTCGGGCACACGGAGCTCGGGGGTTGGTCAACGGGATTGCCGCGTACGTCATGAGGCTTGCCCCAATGCCAAAGAACGCAAGGCTTGAAGGGAGGCTTTCATGCACATGCCAAACAACCATCATGTTCTTACTTTAAGCCCATGTTTCCGCTTCAGAATTCCTTGAGAACCCAACCATATGAGGAAATCCGAGACTCTTCGTGGACATCACTTGCACAAAAAATGCATGATTGAGGACAACCAAGAGGACAACCAGAAAATTATTCTGACAGTTTAACAAAGTATCATATGGCTATGGCTCAAAAAACCTGTACCAAAATGGAACCCTGGTAAGTGAAAACATGGACCAGAACCTGCGGTTTGCCCCTCCTGGTTCATTTTGAGCCACACCCATATCCATCCAGAACTGGACATATTTTGTTTTTGAAAGGACCGAAAGGCCGATCGGATCGGATCGGATTCACCATTGGGGAACATCTGAACACCTTTGAAATCCCGGTACGGTATGTGTCGTGTGTCGTGTTTTTTTTGTTTTTGTTTTTTCTCTGGTGGGTTTTGTGGATGTCCCTTTTGGTTTCCCAAACCAAGCCTTCTGACGAACATCTGAAAAAAGACTTGGATGCTGTTCAAAATCGAGGGTTGGCCAATCCGATTTTCCATAATCCCTATGGGAAACTGCCTGGAAAGGGGACCTTCTATGTAACCCAAGCAAGGATTTAGCATTGCCCTTGAGCAGCCCAGCAAACATATGTTTCTTTTCACTCTAAATCCAACAGCTGAGCTAAGAAACGGATCCAAGTAGCGGACCTTTCTCATGGCTGCAAACATCTGCAAATTTACTCCAAATCCAAAAGCAGACCAGCCAAAAACTGTTTTTGTTGTTTCTAATCCCCAAAAACCTCACTTAGGAAGGACCTTTCTCCTGGCTTTCAAGCTGGTTCTACCGGGGTGCCCGGCTCGGCACCGCTCGCGCGCTTCGCCGGCTCGCGCCTGAGGTGAAGAGCACCAGCCGCGAGGCGGCGCTGCGCAGCAGCAGCGCCTTCAGCCCCTCCGAGGGGTACGGTAGCTGCGGCCTCAGATCGCAAACACACCAGCAAGTGATGCCAACACCAGCAAGCACCAGCACGTGGGACATGGAGGAACCTGCAAAAACCAGCTTAAAAACACCAGGCTCAGTGGGCTGGACAAAGCTGAAAAGCTCAGCTTTTGTGATGCAATACTGCACCCAAACAGAGCTTAGCGTGGGTTTTTGGGCTGGGGTTAGGATGCTCGGTTGCTTTCTGCTCTGCTAAAAGCTTTTTAACGTTTAGCGGTTTAGTACAGAAAACCCAAATTCGTTGTCAAAAAGTTAACGCCCTAACATCTAAGCAAAATGCACCTCCTCACTACCCCAGTTGGACATTTAGGTTGGATACCATGACATACCCACAATTGTCCCAGTGTATATGCTGATTATTACCCAGTATATTCCCATTGTATAAACCAGTTGAATCCAGAGGAACTGGGACCCCGGTTGGGACATTTAGGTAGGATACTATCACAATCCCACAAATTTCCCATTGCTCACTTGCTGAGTGGATGGCCCAAAAGAAGTCCAAACTTTATATTTACCACTAAAATGGCTAGACATCCTGTGGACATGGTCTAAGAAAGCCTGGTCTCTGATGATGCTCTTGCAAATGCCGACAAGCAATGATTCCCCATGGCTTCAAAGTGGTGCAGGAGTTCGTCCATCCACAGTACCATGATATGCCCACATGTTTCCCATTGCATATGCATATTCCCCAGTATATTCCCATTGTATACCACTTGTATATCCATTGTATGCCCACCTGTATATCTATATGTATCAAACTAAGTGTTGCTGCAGCATCGCCTGGTTTTCGCCCGCACAGCCACCTGCCAGCCTGCCGTGTCCATCCTCTTTATTTTGGGTATTTCGTCGTTTACCAAAAAACGCATCGGCGCCCAAAGGAGCAGTGGATTGATTCCGTTTGCCTAGGCTCGGAAGCTCTTGGGAGCATGATTGAAAAGGGTTCGAGTGGCGGGCATCACTCTCCGACTCTCCCGACTCACTTGCAACCAGCGCAATCGCTTCGTCACCATTTCCGATGAAAACCGTGGGCTGCAAGTTTGGTTTTAGGCCTGAACGAAGAGGCTAAGTTCCTCTGGCCCCTTCTTTTGGGGTTGCGGCAGCCGACAAGGAGGGACGCCCCACCCTGGATGTTGGAAAATGCAATACAGGTCAAAGGAAAAGGGGGGAGTTCTGTCTTGCGAACGCTTAGACTCCATGTTGCATGCACCTTGAGGGTGTGTGTGTGTGTGTTGTTGCTTTTAAAGCAGGGGAAGGTGGGTGAAGCAACATAGACTCTAAGCAGGCTTGTCCAACATATTTGGAGCCCCCAAAACTGGCTATTTTGTTCGTATGTTTTCCAAGCCAGGTATAAACCCTCGAAAAAGACCCCGACTACTCTTAGTAAATGATGAAACCTTTCCCTATGTGCTGGGAAACGCCAAGTTTAAAGGGCAACGATGTAACATTGACCAGGGACAAATACTCTGTCACTCTTGTGAGGGTAGCAAGGCCTCTGGAAAACGAAAACCAACGCACCGCTACACTACCCCACCCGAAGGAAATCAAGTATGCACTTGCAAATGTGGTTTGGTGTAAGCTATCTTACTTGCTGGTGCTGTAGGTAGGGAATGACCTTCCTTGTGTTGGAAATGGACGCCGTAATATGACATGGTTGAAACTCTACGTCCCCGACTTAAATTTATCATGCAGCTTCCCACTAAGCAAAGCTCCCCAACTGGTTGAACTGTTGATTGCCACATTTTACGGTCCCAACAAGTGATACTCAAGTGCAGGAACTCAGGGAGTGAGTAAAAGCAGAAGGGGTTCTTTTCCCCCCCCCAAACGTGGTGCCCTTTCTTGGTTGCTGTTGACCCCCCTGCAAAAAGTGAACAACGTTTTGGGGGTTTAGTGGAAAACACCTTTATTTCCCAAAAAGATAAAGGCTAAAGATCCAACCCAACAGCAGTCGAGCTTTGGCTTCCCCTTCGGCCCCTAGTGAACATCCCGATCCCCACTAAAATAAAGCCGAACATGGCTGGTGAATTCACCTACCCCAAAATGGGATCCCCAAACAGTTTTGACCACAGCCAGAAAGCAGAAGGGGTTCCCCCCCTTCTGCTTAGGGTCCTTTGACGGCTTTGGGCTTCCCGACAGCAGTTCGATGAGCCGCGGGATCACGGTGTCCTGGCCCGCCGGTGCACGGGAGGCCACACCCGTCAGCACCTCGGGCAGAACTCGGCAAAAGAAAAGCTCCGCAAGCGGCTTTTGGGTGTGGCTCGAAATTAAGCAGGAGAGGTTACGCAGGTGTTCGTCTACTTTTTCTTTTACCAGGATTCCATTTTGGGCCCCTATTTCTGAGCCACAGCCTTTTACCGTGCGAGGTTTCAGAACTCGGCAAGGACAGCTGCAAGCAGGGTTCCGTTTCTTGACTACCCCAAAGTCGACTTAAACCCAAAAATAGTTGATGTCCCCAAAAGAGAAATCGGGTTTAAGCCGACCTTGGGGTAGTCAAGAAACGGAACTCTGGCTGCAAGTGGCTGTTGCTGTAGGGACCCCTCGCACCTACAGTCTGCGAGAAAAGAGATCTGGTGGCTGTTGCTTTGCCGTTTTGGGGCCTCCTCGCCATTGGGATTGTGCCGTTGAAAAGCAGCCAAAGGATCTATCACCAGTTAGGAGTTAGGGGGGCATTTTTCCCTGGCGTTGAAACTCAGCCAAATCTCAGCCAAAGGAAACCCCTCCAAATCCACGGGGAAATTTGAGGATAGCTATTCTCAAGATGGGAATCGGCCTCCTAAAATGCCTGAAACGGCCAGGGTGTCCTGTGTCCCTTGATCTACCAGCGAAAAGGGGGTCCGAATCGTTGACCAACTCCCATGAGTTCCGAGCCAAAGGGGGGGGGCATCGCCCAGCCGAAAACTAGAGACTAACAGTGAAGAAGCAGCAAGGGCTTTAACCTTCCAATGGGTTCCCCTTCCGATGGCTCAGAATCAATGGAGTAGATGAATCTACCACCAGTAAATACTTGTGTATACATATATGTATTCAGGGTATGGCTCACAATGAAAGGGCTAGGCAGGTTTTAGTTGTTGTTTCCATTTATATGTTTGTTCTAAATTCCCATGCCCTTTTGGTTGCCTTCTGGGAAATGTTAAAACTTCTGACCGATGTAGCACCAGCACGTCTCTTTATGGATCATGTGTACCCATCACAGTGCAACACACAACCAATACTTGCAATGACACGCACATGTCAGTGGGCAATGTGTACATATAACCTATAAATTATATACCAGACGCGTATAGAAACGACTACATTTATACAAATACAGCAACAGCATACATATTAAGCTACAGAACCAGTTCTACACATATTTTCATGGGGCACTTTTGCGTTTGTGCCATGGAAAATTGCGGTGTGTGTAGAAACAGCAGACATGCAACTTGCAAGAGCAAGAACAGGTTGGCGGCCAAGGAAACGCCAACATTCCCTGGCTGGGCTCTGCAAAATCGGCCATTGGGCAAGCATCCGAAAGTCTGGCAGGGGTTCGTACTACGCTGGTATCAAAAGCACCCCCACAGCGTTGGGATTGATTTCCATGGAGCTCTATCTCTTTCTCTCTATCTTTTTTGCTTTGTTCGCTTTCTCCCTCGCTCTGTATCTCTCTATCTCTCTCTCTCTCTCTCTCTCTCTCTCTCTTTTGCTCTTTCTTTATCTTTCTTTCTTTCTTTCATGTTTTTTTGTTTCCTTATTCTTTCTTGATGAAGAATCGGCGACTCCTTGAGAATGCGTCAGGCGTCAGGGTGCCTAGACAGCAGCTTAAGGTGAAACTTTGTCGTTTACAGCTAAGACGCATCAAATCTACATGTGTGATGGGGGGTGGGACCAAGAAGTTCTTCGATCTGGCTCTCAACAACACGGGCCCTGCCCATGCGGGAGAAGCTGAAACTGGGAAGAGTTCAACCTGAAACCGCGGTTTGCTGTTGAATGAGCTATCATCACGAAAACCGGACAGAAGGCAGACACTAATGGAGCATCATGAATAGCGCGCTTCAACCCGCAGGTGAGCTCGATATAATTTGCCCAACCAAATCAACTGAAACCTCTCATTGCCGCTGCAAAAGCATCCTGAGCTCGACGCGAAGACACACGCATCGATGTCCTGTGGCGTGCATCTCAACATTGGCCCAGCGGTTGCCTCACTAGCAGCTAATCGTGTATGAGTACCCCAGCCGACTGTATATTAGAACAGGTTTGTACATTCTTGGTAGCCTGGGTTATAACCCGGTTCTATGTCCCCTGAGTGAATTTAACTTTGCTTCTATTGGGTTATAAACATATAACCCAGGTGGCTAATCACGCACTAACTTGCGTGCAATTCCAAGTATGGATGGCCAGTGGATGGTTCTCTGCCAAAAGTGCGGCGGCCTTCCACTAAGAAGGGGCCCGCAATAGTGATGAGTGCTATCCTTTGATCACTTGCGTAGCCATGGCCGAGAGGGATGATCATGGTTCCACGGAAAATGAAGAGGGTCCCTTAGGATACACAGCAATATTATTATTACCATTGTTATCATACATACATATAATATGGACTTTGAGATTTGTGTAATTGACACAACCCTTTCTCACCAAACCCAAGGCCCCTTTTCACCTGTTCGTTGTGGAAACCCGCCTTTTGAATTCCCTTCAAAACCCTTAAGGATACCCTTCCAAGAAACAAAGGCATTGTGTAAATCTTAGGGGACCCTTTGGTACATCAGACTTTGAGGACTTATGTCCACCACTTGTATAAAAAGAATCCTAAAGGGGTGGTCCGTAAGGCTCCCATGGTCAAGAACCCTAGGAACTTGGGAGTCCATTACGCACTTGTGAGGTTTTCGGGATTAATCTCCACTAAACCACCAGTGACCAGTCGGGTCCCAAGCTCTATGCTTTTTGCCCGTGTCCCAAATTCGTAGTAAAATGCGGGTATTTCAACCCCAAATATCCCATGTCCCAACTTCCCCATGTCCAAAGCCCCAAAATGCTGGTCCCCGCCGGGAGATGATTTCGATTCCCAAGCTCCTGCCATGGGATCGGGTTCTGCTTGCAGATCTCCTGGTCCCACACGGCGGAGAGCAAAGCGTGTGGTTCTTCATCTGCCACACCCCGACTATATATATATATATATTATGCACACATAAGTGTCTACATATATATATATATTATATATATCACATATATGTATATATGTCTTTGTTACACATATATATATATATATACATGTTCACGTCGGTGCGTGTTTTTTGAGGGTGCCCGTTTTACCTTGGCTTGAAGCCCCATATTTTAATAGACACCCGTACATGTGTAGGTGTATCTATATGTACATATCATGTGTCTGGGTCTGTGTGCGGGTCCTGATGTTTCCCAAAGTCAACTTGATAGACTTTGGCCCAATAGCCCTGTGTGCGTGTCAACTTTGCGGGTCCCCTAAAACGACACTCCCATCTCACGTGCAGGCCTCCAGCACCCGACCGATGTACTCGATGATCCAGCGGGGCGTGACCACTACACAGGCCTGCCCGAGCCGGATATGTTCGGTAGATATGGTCGGTTGCAAGCAAATCAAAGACCGCAGCAAAAGGCGAAAGGCGGGGTTTTCATGCGAACGGCAGGGGTTTCATGATTTGGGCGGCGTTTTCGATTGGAGGAACCCCTTTTTTCACTGGCTGAAAGGGAAACCAAAGGAACCCCAGCAGTTTCGGGGTCCCCCTACAAAGATACACTTGCCGCGTTCCCGATGTGCAATCTTTTTGGGCACCCCGGATGAATCAAAATGTCCCACCCTCGGCGCCGAATGCGGAACCCAGCCATGGGCTTTGGTCGCCTGTTTGCACCGGAACGTTTTATCAATCGCTGGCCAGATGTGCAGAAACAGACCGAAAGCACGAGTCCACTGAGTCCAGACTGGAAAGACCCTGCGATCAACCTCCTGGTTCCGATTGGTTTGATAGCCGTTTTATTTTGTTTCCAGAGGCCTCACACGAGTCACCATGTATACTGTATGAGCCAAACGGACATCTACTGAGGCGTGGGATTGACTATGCAATCACAGCGGCAATTTGACAGTAATTTCTTTCCGCGCTTGTTTGACAGTTTGATTTAAATGGAGCTAAACCGAAACTGATCATTACGCAGGTGACCGTATCTTGCGACAAACCTTACCCCAATTAAGGATCCTGCTCCGAGAAGGCACGCTAACACTCTCCCTTCGATGTCTTTCCAAATAAGACCATAAGGCGGTAGGGTCAACAGAAGGTCGTGGGTGGTCTATGAATCACTCGAGTTGTCTCGCCTCGGTGATGTTGATGTTGCACAGCTCCCGGAACCGCACAAAGTCATCCCACTCGAAGTTGGCCTGCGCTGCATCGCACTGGACGCTTCGGCCGGGGGAAAGCTGAAGGCCGAGGTTAAATGCCCAGCCCTGGGAGGGGTTCACCGAAGGAATGGGGGTCGTTGGGGGTAAAGGAACCCGTCGCTTTGAATGTTGGCAAGTCGGACTTCGGGCCCTGAATCCCTTCCACTTAGCCATCTCCCTCTCCCTTGGTGACTGATTAAAAGGGATCCTGCTCGGAAACGAGCAACCACGAATTCAATTGATATCAAAGGGCAAAAGTGTTGCAAGTCTGAACAACATGTTGACGATCTTAATAGTCAATGGTGCAATCACGACATAGTCGGCTCCAAGCAAGCCCCTCCCGGAACCCGTCCGGAATCCCAGCCCGCACCCGCTCGAATCGATCCTCTGAAGAACCCATGTGGGCAGAGATGCCAAAGCTATCAGCTGAGGGAAAAAATGCAAACGACACACCAAGAACAAGGTAACGAGCCCATGAAGCTCAGAGTTTCACATGGCAGGCGCAGTGCGCTCAAAACTTGCTGAATCAACCCGGCGGCCACCGGACCTTTCTGAATCACATGTAAAAGACGCTTCATAAACAGCCCCATTGTCCATCCCACGTCCGATCCCACGGAGATGATGTGAAGCTATGACGGTTGCTATGGCGCACGCATGTAGATAGGCAGCCTGAGAACAGTGGACATGTAAATCAGCGCCTACCTGCTGGCTCCTTGAAGCGAGTCCATCGTCTTCCCGCCTTCCCAAGTACCGTGGATGCCGGTGAGCCAGAAAACAGAAGCCGCCCGCATCAATTACTGCAACCGCATTCACTGTTCCGACTGCAGGCACCGAAGGACGGAGATGGTTGCTAGGTCTATTCAAGAAGGCATGGAAGAGAAAAAACCGAGTGAGTGAGTGAGTGAGTATACATGTGAATGACTTGTTCATGTGTACGGACTTCGGCTGTGTCTGATGTATGCAGAGCAGCAAAAACAGCATCGCCCAAGCGCCAATCTTCCTGGAGGGCAGGCGGGCCAAAAGCCAGTGCAACTTGAGTGAGGCATTGCCGAGCACCCCCTACATGACAGCAAGAACACTAGCCAATACAAACAGCAAACAAACAAACAAACAAACAAACACACACACACACAAACAAACAAACAAACAAACAAACAAACAAACAAACAAACAAACAAACAAACAAACAAACAAACAAACGACGCTCAGACGTCCTGTAAACGCGCGTTTTTTTCCGTTCTTTCCCCCCTGTAATGGCCGCAAAAACGCGCAAATCATATGGCTTTTCACAGGTTTCGAGCAAGTCCAGCAAAGGGTGGGCCGGATGTCCGAGTGGAACTGCAAGAGCACGGCCTATCCTTAGGTGACTCCAAATCAAAACCTGTTATTTAAATGGTCGCACTCCCAGAACCATGTACAGAATTAAAAAGGCTGACACCCCCACCCATTAAATTTGTTGGCATTATCCCTTAACTTTCTTCTACCCGGGTTTCGAGCAAGTTGATGCAGTGCTGCGCGGGTGCACCTGAACGGGTGTTCTTACCATTCGGCGGGCATGGATTCCGTGCTGCGCGGGTGCACTTGAACGGGTGTTCTTACCATTTGGCTGGCATGGATGCAGTGCTGCGCGGGTGCACTTGAACGGGTGTTCTTACCATTTGGCTGGCATGGATGCAGTGCTGCGCGGGTGCACTTGAGCGGGCGTGCCTATCGTGAGTGTGAATTTCCATATAATTCCCGCGTTTTACGTGGTAGTGGCCGGACATGCACGAAACCTGTGAAAAACCATATGATTTGCGCGTTTTTGCGGCCATTACAGGGGGGAAAGAACCAAAAAAAGCGCGCGTTTACAGGACGACCGAGCCACAAACAAACAAACAAACAAACAAACAAACAAACAAACAAACAAACGAGCCAAACGAGCCAAACAAAGAAACAAACGAGTCAATCAAACGAACAAACAAACAAACAAACAAACGAGCCAATCAAGCGAAAAACAAACAAACAAACAAACAAACAAACAAACAAACAAACAAGCAAGCAAACAAACAAACAAACAAACGAGCCAATCAAGCGAAAAACAAACAAACAAACAAACAAACAAACAAGCAAGCAAACAAACAAACAAACGAGCCAATCAAGCGAGAAAAAAAACAAACAAACAAACAAACAAACGAGCCAATCAAGCGGAAACAAAAACACACACAAACAAACAAACGAGCCAATCAAGCGAGAAAAAAAACAACAACAAAGAAACAAACAAACAAACAAACGAGCCAATCAAGCGAAGAAAAAAAAAGGACAAAAAAAAACGAACGAACGAACAACCAACCAACCAAACAAACAAACAAACAAACAAACAAACAAAAAAATCAAACAAACGAACCAATCAAGCGGGGAAACAAAAAAAACGAACGAACAAACACAGAAATAAACACACGAGCCAATCAAGCGAAAACAAACAAACGAACAACCGAACGAACAAACAAACAAACAAACGAGCCAATCAAGCGAAAAACAATCAAACGAACAAACAATCAAGCCAATCAAGCGAACAAACAAACAAACAATCAAACAAACAAACAATCAAACAAACAATCAAACAAACGAGCCATTTAAGCGAAAAAAACAAAAAAATAAACACATATACACATGCCCAATATGGGTTGGAAAACGTCCAGGCAATCCAACCACCGTCAAGTTGTGCTTGGCATCTCGGCCTCCTGCTCCGGCTCGGCGGGGTAGCGCACCGACTGCCAGTGCGCCTGGCAGAGCCATACCCAGCCAAGCAGGCAGGCAGGCAGGCAAGAAAGATAGAAACAACACACGAAACAAAACAAAACACAACCAACCAACAAAGATAGTGATGCTAAAAGTGGGGATTCGCACGAATTGATGGTGATTTTTTGTATGAAATGTGAACACAATTTGATGATTCTCGCAGTTCCCACTTTGGTGAAACACCTAAATTCGTAGAAAGAAATCTTAGAAGGTTTCTGAGAAGCGCTGCAGTTTGGGGAAACCAAATGCATGAGTTTGAGTCAAACTTCCTTGGACTCACAACACCTAGCAAGCTGAAGTTGACATGGGTAGTCTGGGGGCGCAGGGGGTGAGGGGTGATTACCAGGGTGTGAGCATATCTATGTCATATTTGTTGATGCATACAGGATGTGCATTAACACGCAAATCTTTATGCCATACCCAGAAACAAACGCAATGCAAACACACTCTCAACATGCACATATCCAAATCTAAACGGATGCACATGCAGCTGATCGCGATCTGGAACGTCTATTTGGGTTTACTATTTGATTCCCTGCCAATTCGGAGACGGAAGCCGCCGAAAAAATGTGTCCACTGGATCGGCATTCGGTTTGGTAGCCCCGAAAAGGCCGGCGAAGCCGTCCATCCTCAGGGTTTGAAGAGTGCTACTCATGCAATTGTTGTACGAAAGAACAATCAAAATGATTTCCAGCTACGCCCAGCTAAAACAACTCGTGAAACAGTTTCTGACGAGGGAATGACTCCTTTGCCCATTGATCATCACGTTGGATACCTGTCCTTTGAGGGTTCTCAATAATATCAGGTCACATGTGTCCTCCATAATCACAACTTAATACCCATAGTCCTCCGCACATGCAGCCTTGACTAAAGGAACCCTCTTGGGGCTCGACCCAGTTCCCAAACCAAAGAACGGACTTAAAGGGGGACTCGACTTGAAGCACCTTTTTGGGGCTTGACTAAACACAGGCTGATCGTTTTTACCGGTGAACCCAGCAAAACCAGACTTCAAGAGTGCCACTGCACCACTGCCTCACGGTCAGAAGGTCGCACCGGGCTCTGCGCGTCAGAAGCAGCAGCTAGAAATGGTTGCCAATGTTGGCTTCCGTTTAAACAGGCACGAGGTCATTTTCGAAATTTGGACAAAACACGAATTTGGGGGGTAGCTGTTACGGTTGGACCGGGTTTCCTTAAAACCACCCTCAAACAAATACGAGCCACCCCCTTGGACAAAGACCAACTTGGACAGTACTTGGAAAAGGATGAGTCAAGTCCGTTCTCCCAATTTTGGCCACTCAAGTTCCCAACTTCAAGGAGTCGAATGGCCCTATTCCATTCTCCAGCCTGCACCATCGCTTCAATGTGAGGCGACAACAGCGGCCTGCGAAGCTCGGGGAAGCCCAAAAGTGTATGAACGGACAAATGCAGGGATGGATGAATAGATGTTGGATGGATTAGCGGAAAACGTTTGGACATTTAGCCACGTGCAGCAATGTCAACATAACACACTTTAGGGAGAATGGGTGCCAAAACGGTGTGTTGGTTCAAATGCTCAACTACCAAAGAGGCAGCCGGGAAAAATGAAAAACACACGCACCAGAATCCAAAAACGAAGCCATTTAGCCAGACTGGATCACAGAACCCCCGTCCGCCCAGGACGTCCGCTTTCGACCGGCCTGTTGGTTGTCCCTAGCACAGCAGAAAGCCAAACGAACTGACCGGTTTTTGCAACACCAACGAAGAAGGATGCCTTTGTGGGCGTCTCCTGAAACAAGAATTGGAACCTTGAATGCACGTGGCTTTGGGGTTTAGCCGTAGTAAGGCTCAAGTATGAAGCCCCGAATCCTTGTGCATTTCTGGTTTGTGGGTGTGACATGCAAACTAAAAAGGTTGTGACTAGAGGGAACTCTTTTCGACAGAGTGTTCTTGTTGGGGTCACCTGTTGACCACAAACCCCAAACAAATGCAATCAATATGCTTTGCACTAGATGCCCACAAGTCATTCAGCATCGATTTATTGACAAAGCTGGATCAGTGTTTATTCACACCTTCGTCACCAGCGAGAATTCAGGGCCTTGCCCACAACGCAACACCAAATTGATATCACTATTTATCACTATCAGTCATACTTCATACTTCAGGCTAAACTTGTGCCAATGAACAAATGCTTCGTTTTGAGCCAACACCTTCTTCTCACCTTCGCCAGGTTTTTTTAGACCCGAGAAACATCTTGCATGGGGCGAGCAAGAACGACCACCTGATTTACAATAAACCATGGCTTTCTGGTCAAGTTGTTGCACCTATGCCCCCGCTCGAGGAAGATCTTGACGACTGGTTCATTGTCAGTGGCGTAATACTCTAAAACAGTCTGGCCCTTCGTTGGACGGTTGTACGTCTGGCCGTAACGACTCTGGGAATGTCTCACCCATACCAAGCCAGCCAACTTGGGCTGGAAAGGGTCCGACGACTTGGCCAGCGATCCCGCAGAAGGTGAGCCTTTCGATGTCTGTGTTTGGCGATTCTCTTCTTTTGTCGTTCCCCTTTCTCTGCATTGCCCTTTGTCGCGCTTGACACTCCGCTGGGGGAAATATGGGGGACCAAAACTGGTACCTCTCCCCCCCCCCAGAAAAAAAAAAAAAAAAAAAAAAAAACATCGCGAACAACCCACCACACAATGTGTATATGTATATATGAATCCGAGATAGCATGCCGCATTCAAGGGATCCGCCGCTCCAAACAAGAGTTGGAAAAGGTGTGTGAACCGCTGAGCAAAGTTGGCAAACCATGACAAGTTGAACGAGACTTGATCAAGTTCCAGAACCCCCCGCCTCCAAAAAACAGCTGTTTTTGGACAGCACTTGGGGATGTAGACATGGGGCCAAAAGCACGGGGCCAAAAAAAACGGGGGGTCACTGAATGTCCGAAAAACAAAAATAAACATTTCGCTGAATCTGTTTTTGGCGCTTCTTCTTGACATCGCCACTGTTCGAGCTTCCCTGTGGGTCAACGAAAGTGGCTCTCGCTCGGAACCCCTCAGGAGAACGGAACGCGCCGCCTCTCGAGGCTCCGTCGCTGGGCTTCCAGGTCGGGGTCCCGGAGGCCCAGGGCCTGAAGAGATAGGAGCGGAAGTAAGGGTTGATGGAAGAACCCAAGTAGGTTTCTAGATGGCCTTTTTTTTGTTTTTTCTGGATCAACCAATCAGTTTTGATGGCCTTTTTTGCTTTTTGTTTTTGGATCAACCAATGAGTTTTGTCCAATTGTGCGCCTTGGTTGCCCCCTAGATGGCCCTTTTTTGTTTCTTTTTTTTTGATCAACCAATCAGTGTTGTCCAAAGATGCGCCTTGGTTGGTTTCTGGATGGCTAGATGGCGGTGGTGATGGTTGTGGGTCCCTCTGGAAAATCCCTCCTGTGTTTCAAGTTGATTCAAGGCTTTGGTAGGTTTCTAGATGGCTGTGATGGTTGTTTTTGTTGGATCAACCAAACAGTTTTGTCAAAGATCCGCCTGGGTTGCAACAGAAGTCACCCACCCTGATTGCACAGGGGAGAGGCGGGGATGGAAGTAACGACTGGTTGGGTTCCGGAAATATACCCGTTGCTGCAAGAACCACCCAAGTAGCCCCCTAGATGGCTAGATGGCTGTGATGGTGTTTGGTGAAGCCCAGATACCTGGGAGGTGGCAGTGCTGATTTGCTTTTTTTGGTGAAGCCTAGTTAGGGCTTGGTTGCTGGAACAAGTACCAGCAGCCCAAATGGCTTGAAGGGGGCTTCGTTATTTTCTTGGTGAAGCCTGGTTGGAAGAGTTTGTCAAGGGCTTCACTATGCTTGGGTGCTGTTGAACGACCCCTCCGCAAAAAGATGAATCACTCACTCACACTAAAAGCCGGAAGCTGCTCCCAGCTTGGCCTCTGGAACCCAAGTCTTCAAAAGGGGTTCTGGAAGCTTTCATGTTAGTCTGGGGCATGGTAAAGTTTTGTGAGTCCCCTCTGGAAAATCCAACCAGTTCTGACGAAAAGGTTAAAGTTCAAAGATCCGTTACCAATTAGCCATAAGGTCACAAGTCAATATCCACAATAAAGTCTATGTGGGCTATCGCCAGTGCCAGTGAATACGTCCCGCGGCTTAAGTCACCTACATTGGGCAGGGGAAATCTAACAAATGTGGACTTGGTACATACGGATATTAACCAGAAAGAGAGGGTGCATCCAAGCGTGCGTTGGAGCAGGCAAATCATTCATATCCCCAGTTCAGTCCCCAAAGTGTTCCTCACCTTGAACCAACAAAAACTGGTGGTGTTTCCCGGTTTCACCCAACGAAAGGGGACTTGACCAACATGTAAAATATAACCAACCTAGCATAACCTAGTCAACTGCAGAGAGCCACCTAGAGTTTGTATTTTGCAGCACCACACCAGCATGAAGAATCTCCCTCTTGCCCTCTCCCTCCCTCCCTCCCTCCCTCCCTCCCTCCCTCCCTCCCTCCCTCCCTCCCTCCCTCCCTCCCTCCCTCCCTCCCTCCCTCCCTCCCTCCCTCCCTCCCTCCTCGGCGCTGAATCTCTCCCACTCCCCGCGCCCCCGATGCGTGCCACAGCCTGGCCACTGCCCTCCTCGTCATAGGGATCGTCCTGGCACGCCACAAAACGAACGAATGTTTGGCCAAGTGAGTTCTTAAGTACATAGTTAGCGACCCGGGCAATAACCAACAACACGGTTAACTCGCTTGTTGGGAGACTGGGTCATAACCTAGGAAAAACGAGCTGACTGGGCCGAGCTGCCCAAAGTGTCAAGGACCCAATCGAAGCCCAAGGCACCAACTCAGAGTTCGAAGACCTCGGCCCTTTGGCCCTTGACCCGGGAGTGATTTACACTGGGGAAGAACGGAGAACCAACAAGCCACCTTAAAGACGAGTGAAGCCTGAAGGCCACGCCCAGACAACCCTGGCAACCAGCCCCCCAACAAAATGGAACCCTGGTAAAAGTCAGACCTCTTAATTTGGAGCCACACCCAAAATGGGTCGGCAAGACTCAGTTGCATGGCCAAGTGTACTCCAATGTACCGTGCAAGAGGAAGCTGCTGTTGATTTGGAGACCGGTTGACGTGAGGGTGTAGAATAGTCTTGACATGGGGCATTCCGCAAAAACTTGTGTTTTGTCGGGAGTTCAGCTGAGCATCCAGTGGTTTGACAAACCTTTCATTGGGTTGCGTATTACGTGCGAGATGTTTGAGGAAGGGTGGGTGTTCAACGCATAGGGACTCTAGCATGAAAAGACCCGGTCTGAAGGCTCGAGATCGAAAACCAAGAACACGGGCCCTCAATTTGAGAGTCCTTCGTTGGCGCACACGGAAAGGTAGCGGATTCGGAGTAAATGAGTAAAAAATCAGCCTGGCAGTGGGTCTGCGATTTGATGGGACTTGCCCCTATAACTTGTTGCCTTTACTCGGTTGACGTTGGAAGGGGAGCAACAAATTGACTTTTAGCAGTTGAGTGGTTGGATTTCCACCACTCAACTTCACCAACACCAAAAATACGTGAAAAAACTGGTTTCACCACCCATGCAGTAGGTGTCCATTCGCAAACCATTCGCAAAAGGGGGCCCTGGACTGGATCCAGCCTCCAAAGAAGCCTCAACCAAGGCCCAGCCCAGCTAAGAATCCAGTTTTCACATTGGCTGATCGATTGGGGAATCCTGGCAGAATCCACCCGGCACCCAGCAGCCTCGGGAAAAAAACAAAATGGGCCGCTTTCTGTGGGCTCCCTCAGAACATGGGAGAACAACCAAAGGTCCCCCATTCGTCTGGGACCCTTTTTGGATGCTTTTAAGGGGACCAGGTCGAATGCTCCCTGATTTGGGTGCTTTTCTGAGGGACCCACTTTCGTAGGGACCCTAAAAACCGCAAATTGTCTCGCATGCTCCAAACCATGGAGGAAAGGGCACACGACACGCCCCGTTCTCCTCGATGGCCTCTGCTCCCAGGTGCACGGCCAAGCCCTCAATCAGTCTGGTGCTCTGAGCCCTTCCACCCACTACGTCTTTCAAATGGCTGGTGCGCTGGGTAGGGAATGGCCCAGTCCGGGTGGTGAGAATGAACTGCTTGGGGCTTTTCTAAGAAACCATAGGGAATGATTTATGGGGGTCATTCCAACTCATTCCCTGAGAACCAGCAAATTTCAAATGCCGCACCCTTTTGAAGGTGTCGCCGGAAAACCAGAGCAAACCCGTTTGGAGTTGGAACTATATGGACATATACGGTGGGCCCTCAAATTGCAAGTAAACCAACCGTACTCAACCACGAAACCATGGTAAATTACGGTAAATTAGGGGGAGTCATTGTTCCCTTACTTGCAATATGTAGGGATTTCAGGCATCCACCATACAATTGAGTCATGCGATCTGGAGAACGACTTCACGGGATACCCCCCAAATGTGGGTTCCCTTTCCCGGTCTCCAGGTCCCGATTTTCTCTGCTCGGAATACTCTTCAGCTTCTGCCAACCGAACGAAACATCAAATGTTCGATTCTGATCATGTGAACTTTATATTCAAAGGAGATCCCAAAGAGATCCCAATTACCTTGCGGATAATTCGGGGGAGGCTCCCGCCGAAAGCAAGATGTTCCCATCAAATTGGTGAATATTCATGAAGCCTTGGTCACCTGGATCTCCTGTTACGTGGCTTGAGCACACCACATGCACACGTGCCCTGCGACGGGGCTTCAACAAATCGGCCGGTCCATCCCCCGGAAGCTTCCAACAAACCCAAGAGATATGAAGCCATATGGGTCTCTCTTTTGTTGAGGCAACCCTTTGGGTTGTAAGGGAAAGCAGACGGAAATCACCCACTTTAAGGGTGCCCCCCCCATTGTGACACATACCCAACTAGGACATCATGCTTATTTGGCCCGGAAACCTTCTTGGTTGGGGTCTCTTATTTGGCAAGCCGGCAAGCCATTCCTCAAAGGCAAACGCAAGTGAATAAATCCAATGACCATGACAAGGACCCCAAATCACGCAAGCACTCAACAATCACAGAAGAACGCTGCCCGGTTTGTGGATATATGACTTATCCTACTAACCTCCAATCACCCGGGTTTGATCAGTATTCACATGGTTTGATGAATATTGCTCAGTAGTGTGGTGGTAGCACCACCTGAAAAAAGTGAATCCTGTTCTGCCTCTGCCTGGGCCTGGTCGCTGCACGGTGCACAATCAATTGTAAGGAGCAAGTGTGCACCTTTAAGAAACAAAAGCAAAGCAACAAAACACACACACACACACACAAGCAGCAAGCAAGCAAGCCAGCCAGCCAGCCAGCCAGCCAGCCAGCAAAGCAAAGCAAAGCAAAGCAAATCAAAGCCAAGCCAAGCCAAGCCAAGCCAAGCCAAGCCAAGCCAAGCCTGCAAGCAAGCGAGCAAGCGCGGATTCTGATACCCAACATCATTGAACCAAACACACTCACACACACGCACACACACAAATCAAGAAACCACAGCCAGCAGGTGCCTGGTACCAAAAGTCCAGTCCGCATCGGGCCACATCCGTATGTCGCCTCGGTTCCCGATGTCAAAGGCGTGGCAAAGGCATGTGCTCCAGCTCCACTTATCAAAAAAATGCTGAGCCGGGGGACCAACCTACACGTGTGTTTATGTATCCCAGGAGCACATAGTGATTGTCAGTGACAAGTCCAAGTCAGAGATTCCATAAAGGGAAGGACAAACAAATTCCTTGATCAAGCACCTCAAACTTGTCAGGGGATGGGATACACCATTTAATTTTGGCCCCATGCACCGCTATGGTTTGGGAAGAAGTGCTCTGCGCAACTGTGGTCCAAGCTTAGAGCAGCGTATGCCCGCACCAAGCAATCAGGCCAGTATTTGTGTTTGCTTCCAAAGCAGCAAGTACTCCTATCGATCTGAGTGCTCTGAGACGGTGAATCGGGTTGTGGGAGCGGGGGGGATGGGGTGGGGCAGAACCGGAACAAGTGAGAAACATCCATCCCATTGCGGTCTCGGTTGAAGAAAGTTCCACAATCGGTGATGGAGTGAGATATTGACAACTATCCTGACTGCCTGAACCATCGCTGTTCGGGCCCTCGCTTCGAAGCCAATTGCAACACACTCACCCAAGGTCGCTGTACCAACACGGCCCAAGGAGACCGGTGTTCTATGGCCGATGGGAGGGTAAGGCCGCCTCAAGCAGCCAAGGATGCCCCCAACGATCCCCCTATGAAAGAATAATGACACTGAAAATTGAATCAACAAGGATAATATCTCAGAAAAGCACCGCTTCGCTGATGCTCCGCCAAGTTCCTTGGCTAGCCACCCGAGTCATCGCCCACAAACAACAGGGTTAACTTCACCTTTAGCCGGACTTGAGGCGCTATGGACTACCAACAACTTACTAACTTGGCTGCGGCTCAAAAAAACGGTAACAAAATGGATCCCTGGTAAGTGCAAATATGGACCAAAACCTGCGGTTTGCCCCTGCTGTTTAATTTTGAGCTAAACCCACTTGGCCGACCCAAGTAGCATGCCACCAGGCTCCTGTGCTGAGCTGGCGGCAATCGCACAAAGTGCTGCGCCAGCGTGGAAAGGTGGTCGCACCTGGGCGCTGCAGCCAGGCCCCACACCAGTCAACCTGTGTGTAGCCCGCATAGACCATGTGTCATGAGGCTATGGGTCAAAACCCTGTACCCCTAGTGAACATCAAAATGGGTGGTACATGGGTGTTCATCCGCCCCAAAATGCAGGCATAGGTTTTGACCCATGGCCATGAATCTGTGCTCACTTGCGGGCATACAGACAATCTTCGCCTCAAGAAGACGGCAAAAGCACCCCATGGTTTACCTGCGACCACCTTTCCCGACAGCCATCGACCACATTGTGTTGAAGACCTGGCCAGGTTTTAGGTAAGAGCAAATGAACCACCAACCATTTTCGAACCAGCAAACGTGGAAAACAGAGGTTCGAATCGCCGGCCAGTTTTGGTTGATCCCTCTCCACCACTGTTTAGATCCAACCAACCCCATTGGAGCTTCACGTATTTTGGAGCGCTTGCGGGGAATCGGATCGAGGACCCTCTGGCATGCATGGCGTGACTACAAGGGAACCATATCAACCACTTGCTAAGGCCTTATTGAAGGCTTGTGTGGGCTTGTGCTTTTCCTGACATAGACCACCATAGAACCCCCCCACCCCACCACACTCCACATTCAAGTATTCGCCGAAGGCATCATCCATGGAGCGATGGATGCACCCAAGCAAGAATCGGCACGCCTTCTCTGGCCACTACAGCCCTGAGGAAACCTGTCAAGAAAATTGTCAGGTACCCCCCGGTGCCGCGGGCCGTGGGCATCAAGAACCTTGTCGCCAGAGAGCCCTGTACAGTTTTTGCCTACAGATTCAAGGTTTCCTGCTTGGGGCCCAGGAAAACCAAGATTAAACCCGTTTTCAGCAGGCGGCTCAGCATGCGATTTGTTTTGAACCAACCATTGTTTTGTTTTTTAAAGCAACACGCGTGCAAAGCGAGTTGAACCCTGAAACCATTCCAAGATGTCCACAAGCTCAGTGACAAGCTCAGTGAGGTCAAAGGCGGAAGGGGAATGCAACCACACATCGACGCTGGGCTCCCAGCACCGCAGGCGCGATGCCGTCACCCACCACCTCATGTGTCGCTCATTCGGCTTTCGTGCGATTGACACAACTGAGCCCATTTCCTGAGTGGATTGGTCAAAGGCAAACAAAACGCGTTTGCCATTGAAATGGTGTTCCCACAAAGTATAAAGTCCAGGACGTCCTTCGGAGTGTGGTTTGCAACCCTCGGAAACCTTTTTGGGTCTGCACAAATAAGCCCAAAGCCCATGTTCGGCAACTGGGCGCCATGTTTTAGTTGATGTTTCAGGGAAACACCTCCAACAAAAAAAGGCTCATCCCGAAAAAACCATCTTCATGTCCTCCGGACTTGGACCAGGATATGCAAGCCTCCGGCCCCACTTTCACCGGAACACTCCTCTGGGCCACCCTGCGAAGCGCACGAAGGGCCCACCCAGTTCCGCCACGAGCCGGCCCAGCAACGCCACCTGCAGAAAGTCCCCCTGCTTTGCTGTTGGCCTATGTTGCAAAGATGTGCCCACCGAAAAGTGGAGGCCTCCACTTGGAGGCTTCCGCCGACCTTGTCCCACATGTAAAAGGAACACCTTGGGACCAGGGGATTAGGACGGTTACGTGGAAAACAACTGGGCATCCAAACACGGTCCGGCTTAGCCCTTGAGTGCACAAGCCATGCGAAAGGCTCTCGGAAGGCACACGCTGGCCTTCCGTCTTTCCAAAAGCGGAACTGGTGAAGCACCTGTTGGGTCAAGGTAAGTCTGAGCACCCAGGGAATAAAGACATAGTACCGCCAAACTATATATACGCCTTACCAATGTCCATGAAAAAAAAAAACCAAAAAACAGTATCAGTAGAAGCGGCTGAGGCCGCAGCTGTAGAAGCGAGCTCCGAGTCTGTCTCCATCCACTTCACCAGGTAGCCCTAAGTCACATGTTCCCGATGAACATGCTCGTTTGTGGATCATGGTCCATATTTTGCGAACATCCCATGTGGTGTCCCAGTTGGTGTTATATAATTATGTTGGACTCTCTTTAATGCAACCCCCCCTGAACAGTGGAACCAGTCAGCTGGACTCTCTTTAGTGAAATCCTGGGGGTCTGGGAGGGACAGTACTTACTTTAGTATTGCCAATTCTACTTTAGTATTGCCAAAGCTCCCTCTCAGATTCCCAGTACTTACTTTAGTATTGCCAATTCTACTTAGCATTGCCAAGGCTGACTCTCAGCTTCCCGTACTTACTTTAGTATTGCCAATTCTACTTTAGCATTGCCAAGGCTGACTCTCAGCTTCCCAGTACTTACTTTAGTATTGCCAATTTTACTTTAGTATTGCCCAAGGCTCACTCTCAGCTTCCCAGTACTTACTTTAGTATTGTCATGAGGCTTTGGTTTTCAGTTTTCAGCAACCCCGAAACCAGCTGGACACTAAAGAGGACCCCAAAACAGTCGCATTCAAGAGGATCTGGGCCTCTTGTGGGCACGCCCCTTTGTGTGACTGTTTGCCCGCACTTTTTTGTAAAGAAGTTATCTTAAATTTGATGGTTTGGGGACCACTTCAAGAAAAGGATTTCCCAATGTTTGCCAGGATTAGTTTGCCCGTTTTTGTTGCCCGACTTGTTGGCCAAGTCTTTTTGCCCATAATTCATCCAGTGTTGTTTCCGGCAAAAACAACATTCCATAATAGAGGACCCCTAAAACAGTCAAGCGATCCTGAATTAGAAAAAATGTACAATAGAGGGTACTGTTAATAAAGGAGGTCACACATGATTTTCATTGGAATTTGGGACAAACTGCTGCCATCCAATCTTCTTTTCAACAATGCAACACTCCTCTTGAAAAGCCCGGCATCTGTCCACTTCACGATTCTTAGAAAGAGGATAAAACCCGAAACTCGGGTGAAATTTCCACGAGTTACGACATGCCGCCAACATATAAATTCCAACTCCAAGCTCCGACCTCGGCTTTTTCAAACTCAACATCTCACATTTCGTGGATTGCCCAACTCCGAACTTGGTGTCCGCCACTAAAATGCGTCTCATGTTCCAAACCAGATCAAAATTCAGGAACTTGGGAAGTGAGAAATGACAAACTTAGTGCGGGAACAACCATGCCAGCCCTGAGGAATTCCCCTTTTCAACCTAGCTAGGGAAAGCAAACAAACATCTTATAATTCAAAACTTCCAAGCTGGGAAAAAGACATCTCTTCTTCAGTGGACATGTTCTGGGCTTGGGGCTTTGGACTTGAAACCTTCATATCGGGGCCCCTGCTCTTCATCCCATTTCCCTGTCCACCAGATTACCCATTCAAGATCCCTTGAGTTGCTGTCTTGACGAAACCCCCCCGGCATTGACAAGGAGACCCCTCCCAACCTGTGGCTGCTTCACTATCTTTGCATATGCCAGCTTCGCCGGCTTCTGTAATCGAACCCAGAATTAAGACATCCCGCGATTGATAAGGGGGTGATGTCAACGTTTTGGGGAAGCACTCCACCTCGCAATCAAGCTCTATTCATTCGGGTCTCCAGAAATGGCCATGGGTCAAAATCCAAATCGTGCCCCCAGTGAACATCCGATTCAATCCCCACTAAATAGGCTATAAAATGTGTGGTGCACCTACCCCAAATGGGATCCCAATCGTTTTGACCCACAGCCATACTCCTACTGCCGCTGCGAGCCCGCTCGACCCTTCGCTGCGCCTCCGCCTGCTGGAAGACTTGACGACTGCCTGTGACCACCTCGGCCGATGGCTGAGAAACGGAAAGCGGGCGAGTGTTCGCATGAGCTGAGTCCATTCTTCTAGGGGTTGATTCCCCATTGGTATCACAGAGAGAGGTACTTGCAATGCAGAGGTTCCCCATTCTTTCCGATCGTTCTTAACCAGCTGTTTTCCCTGGGGTTCCGGAGGTTTTCTAGAAAGAAGGATCCCTGGAAAGAATGGGGAAGGTACCCCTAGAATAGTAAGGCAACCCTCTTTAAAGGAAAGCCCCTTCCGTATCTTCTCGTCTCTGGGTTCATGCGCGGTGTAGCCACAGTGGGCAAGAGGGTGGTTTATGTGGCAGTCGGGATGCCGGGAGGGCGCGGCGATGTCACAATCACATTGCAGGTTGATTAAGAAGGTAAGGGGGTGGTTCGCAAAGCTGGATGAGCCCACTAACAACAAGTTGTTGGCTCCACTTGGGCTTAGACGGACGTACAAGTGGGTTACTACCCAGGTCACTAACAACGTACTAACTTTGCGGATCATGCCCAAAGAGCTAGTCTCCGAGTATATTTCCGAAGACAGGTAAGGAATATTGAAGAAGGTTGGAGGTTGCGGTTTGCTGCTTGAAGACATTAGGGGTTTAGGACTCTTTTTTTTCAAGGCCCCAGGGGCCTGGTGGGGATATGTTGCGGCCTACTGTTACAGGCGCCTATCGCATTTTGCGACGGCTACATATGGCTTTCAGTTGCAAATGCCAAAGAACCACGGCATTGTGAGGGGCCCATGACAGTTTCTGGGGTGGGTGGGACATGTTGTGGGTTGTTTGCGGCCTTTTTTCTGAAGGCGTAGGGTTTGTCGCCTGCCCAGTACACTTCAAGGGGAGCAACTGGTGAACAAACTTCATTCAGGCCCTTGTCGTTCATCCATCCAACGGCTTCGAGCTACCCCTTTGAACCATCATTTCAAACAGAAAGTTGGACTCACCGCCGTGCTTGCCTCACCACTGTTTGCTTCCGTCAGATCTTCAGCTTTTGCTTATCTTTCCACTTCCCAAGCTCAGTGCTTCCAGTTGCCATTGTAGGTAAGGGCAATGATCAAAAACCTGGAAGTAAGAAACCCGGGGTATCTACTGATGTTGACCCCATACTAATCAATCCCAATTTATGAGTAGGGTGTGTTCCCCTCCGAAAGTGATGATGCCCCACTAAAAACAAGGACACTCCCCTAGAAAAATAAGCTTTTCTTGATCAGTATGGGGTCAACATTAGAGTGGTAGCACTAGAAGCACTGGGAAAGCCAGAGAAACTTCAACTCCGCCGATTTCGCACGCCGATCACCGGCAGTCAGGCGTCCGGGCGGCTTCGATGATCTGCAGCAACAGCTGGCCACTGGGCCCGGTCACCTGACGAACCAAAATGGGTGTCTTTATTGTCCCAAAAAACCCAACTGGGGGAAGAGGCAACTAGATAGACAAGTTGCGAGTTCTTTTCCAATGTAGCCCACTTAGGTCAAAAAACTGGTGAGCCATAATGATAAGCCGCCCATTTGTTTTCCCAGCCAGTTTTCAAGACGCTTCACCCCAGCCCTAACAGTCATAGCCGCAGTACAAACAAACGCAGTTAGTTGCAGCTTGTTATGATTGTTTTCTTCTCGGACACTTTACTCTGGCGTCACAGCTGCTGAGGAATAACAGCAACTTGCAATCCATCAAGGCACACAGTGCACTGTCAAGATACATTGTTCGAACTGGTTGGTACATCCGTCTCTTTTGTTCAAACCAGCCAGGAAAAACGGAAGGGTTCCCATGAATGCAAGTCTCCAGGGTGGGAAATGACTCTTTTGATCCACCCCAAATAAACTCCCCATACAAGCTGTAGGGTATCTGCCTCGTCTGGGGCTCTTTAAGAGACAAGGGGCACATACATGTGTGTATATATATATATATATATTTTTCTATGTATACTATCCGCCTGCCAGAAGTAGCAACGGATGCATCTGTCCTGGGTTTTGGTGAAATGTTGCTACGTTTTTTTTCTTTTTCTTTTCCTACTATAGAGGAACAAACCTAGTTTTTCTTCCGCTCTTTCTTTTCTGGGGGGGGGGGGGTACCACATATATACGTATATAATACATGTATGACAGGCGCGCTTTTCTGGGTGCCAAATTTCAAGGGCGGACCTGAGACTCCTGTCACGTCTCGCCTCGTTGGTGAGGGCCATGGCCTCGCTGAGGAGGTCCGCGCAGGCGCGGCCTTGGGCTCCGGAGCTCTCGGGAGGTCCCCTTCGTGCAATTTTGAACCCTGAATACTAGGCTGGAATTAGGACCCCAGCATTTTTCCCCTTTTTTGCCTGGGTAGTGAAAAACAAAGGGACCCCAAAAAGAATTTGAACCCTGCTAGGTCCTCCGGTAGAGAGGTTTGAATGAGGGTACCCGATTTTGTTTCCTGTAGTCTATTTCTATTTTAGGGAACCCCCGAAAAAATGGTAAAAGGGCACTACTGGGGGACCTAGCCTGAATAAATCCTGCGAAGGAGGGGCTCCTCCAAGAATGATCCGGAATCCTTAAACGGGACACCCTCTGATGCAACGTGCAGTCAGCATTCGCCCAAAGTTTGACCACTCCGGAGGCCCCAGAAAAAGATGGGAGGCGCAAAAGGCGAAGGATTCCCTCTGAATCGGGATGGGGTTACCCATGGATTTATGAATCAACTTGGTTCCCAAGAACCTGTTCCCAAGAACCCGGTTTGATCGTTGGCATATCCCCCCCCTTAAAGGGTGGGGGGCGTGGGGGTGGGGGCGGGAGAGTGGGGGGGGAGTCCCCAATTTCACTTCTCCCAAAAATCATTCCGTTCCCCAATTCCAGAGTTGAGGGGTGGAATCTTTTGCTTGGTGGGTTATCTGTGTTGGCCAAACTGGGAGTTGGTCAAACAGGTTCTTTGTCATCCTTTCTGAGGGTCACCCCAAGGATCCCAGTAACTTGTGCGGATGTACCAAATGACCCCTGTTGAGCGCCAAAAGTGCATCAAGGCACTGGAATACACGTTCTTGGGAACCAAGTTGATTCACAAATCAATGGGGTAACCCCAATGGGGTACGTATCCCAATTCCGAGGGAATCCTGAGGGTGTCCCGTTTAAGGATTCCGGATCATTTTTGGAGGAACCCCTCCTTCGCACGATATATTCGGGGTTCAAAACTGCACGAAAGGGACCTAAACAATTCCCGCTCGCGATAGTCCCCACATGAAGCCGAGACATGTCCGAGACTTTTCTGGAACCTGTTGGATTCAGGGCTTGGCCCAACAACACAACGATCCCCTGAAAGAGACGTGACACAGTGGCATATCGAAAACCCCAATAGCTGCACATGTTTTGTTCCAATCTTGGCATGCCTTTCTTGCAGCTTGCCAACCTCTCCCCCCCAATGGCCATGGGGCAAAAAGGACACCCTTGTTTGGTGTGGAATTGAAAGTAGGGACGTTTGGGCTCTGATAACTCATTTGCTATTCGAACTTATTGTGTGCTAATTTACTACTTGGGTGCTCGGGCTAACCTTGTTATTGGAGGGCTATAACCCAGGCGGGTACGGGTAACCACTTGCTAACCTGGCCGAACATCGAAGTAGCCATCGAATGATTGTCATGACTAGATTTGATCAAAGACCGATCGCCGGCTTACATTGCAGCACGAGCAAATTCCATCTAGCGAAAAAGCTGAATTCTCATTGAACTGCGTCCTGCTCAAAAACAGTACTCACGGGTTGACGCGGCCGCTCGCTGTTTGATTTCGGCCAGCGACCGAGCCGCTTGATTTCAAGCATCCAGAGGCCTTTCTTTCAAGACCCATCAGTAACACCGCTGAACGCCAAAAAAGCGCGCAGCGCATATGGAATTTGTTCACCTCAAAAGGGATGGGGGCGCCAACCATGAGTGGTGATGTGTTTTCGGTTGTTTTCCCAACCCAGACCCCGGTCTACCTCCTCAAGGATTCAATCAGGAAACTCCAGCAACACCGCGCGGGAAACTAAACCTGACCCAAAAAACCTGGGCGCCAACCCTGTAAACCAAACAATGTGTAATCGGGGATTGCGAATAGGCGCCAACCAAAAACCCTGTAGAACATGGGAATGGCTTTGCTTTTCCCTGTAACCAACGCCATCCGCAAGTATCTCACTCGCGAAGCCCGTGGCCTCGAGGCCGCTCTCTTTCCGGCCGCAGGCTCGGCTTGAGCTGAGGCCGGCACAGAGCTCCAGCGATGCGGTCTGGGGGCTGCCTGTGGCCGCCACCACCTGCCACCCCAAAACGCACGTGGAAAACAGGCTGGGCGGCTCGTCCAGGTCGACTTTCGTGAAGGGAAGACACCCCCAGTTGGTTGGGGTGTTAAAGGGGAGCCAAAAGGAAAACCATGAGTTTTCGCCAAATGGCTGAAAGCTATAGGGGTTTTATCTTCTGAAAAAGAGAGGAAAGTGAATTGCGAGATTGATGGCAGGGTGCTAGGGGGCATGCACAGTGGGTTGCTGGCGCAGGTGCTGTTTGTGCTGGTGACGCTGCGGGCATATTTTTGCGGGATTGACGGCTGGGTGCTCGGGGGGTGCTGTTTGGGGTGCTGTTCGGGGTGTTGTCGGATGCTGGTGACGTGCGCGTTTTGCGAGTGACGGCAAGGGTAGGGGGTACCCAGTATGGGGTGCTGGTGCTTTGCAGTATTTCGCTATCAGGGGTCGATGCTGGTGATTCGTTTCTTCTTCTTTTTCTTTTGGGGGGGGGGACCATGTTTTTTGGGGGGTCCATGGGTACTTAGTTCCAGCCCCCCCCCGCAATTTTTTTGGACAGTACCACACAATTTGGACATGGAAACAAAGCGGGCAAGTTGGGGCTGGAAAGAATCGTGCCCCGATTGACATGGAAACCCAGAAAACCCAATCTGTGTAGAGGAAACTCCTGTTGGGCACAGGAGCCTTCTTTGGGGGGTTCCATGTTAATTTGGAGAGTACTTGTTTGGACCCTTTTGCTTGGTTCTTCACCCCAACGCCTTTTCAGTGAAATCTTGTCGATCGTCTATCATGATTTTAGGTATCGTGCAAATATTCCGATGGTACATCGTTCTCTCCTGACTAAGGGATCCGGAAATGAACAGTAAATTAACTCGGTTGTTTTCTGCTCCCCTGCTGAAAGTTTAACTTTTAGTGGTTATAATGAAAAACCCATTAGTTGGCAAAAAGTTGTTCAGTCCTAACATCCAAGCATAATGCAACAAAGTTGAGCATTCGGAACCTCGATCAAAGATGCACAAGTGAAACCCAAAAGGTTGAAAGGCTCGATTCGCTTTGGACGACAGGGCCTGGGCCGCTCGCCGGACCAGCGGATTCTCGTGCAGGCCGCCTGCACAAACCGATCGGCGGCGGCTTTTTTCTCCTTCGGCTGGCCTCGCCACTCGGCGTGCCTCGTCCCAAGTGGCTCAAGTTTTTGTCAGAATTTGTGGGGTCAAGACCAGTGAGTTCACCAAAAACAGCTAGGACCAAGAGGTGAGTTAAAAAAGGAACAGTGAGCAACTAAGACCAACTCACTGGTGGAAAACCAACTTGATGACCAAAAAGTTAAGTCTGAGTCTAACGATCCAACATGATCCAACCTAGAAATCAAGCTCGGGATCTTGGACCAACATGCCTTGGGCCGAAAAGGGTTTGGAACGGAAGTCGGGGAATTCGGACCCGGCGAAACAATTTGTTTTGTTGGTTTGTTCAGCTTCCTTCGAATTGGTGGTTTGGAGCCCAGTGGTTTGCTTGTTGACGGTTTCCCAACTAAACCCTCTGATCTGAAAATCTGAAAGGAACAAGGGGTTCAAATCCAATTCCAAATTCATCAAGTTTTAAAACACAGTTAGGGGTTAGCTGGGTTCACCCGAATAGAAAACGTAGAGGGACCTGCCTCCAGAGGTTTACTCCTTGCAAGTCAAAAGGACCTCCAAGCCTTGCACTTCTGGAAAAGGGTGGGCACTGGAGTTGCTGAAACAGACCACACAAGTCGGGGGAGGCAAAAACTTGATCCAACTGATTGAGTCGGGGTCACGTGGCCTTCGGGCTGGATGTGTAGACTTTGGGCTCGGCTTGGCGCATGGCTTGGCATCACTGCCACGTGGCGATCCACGCTGGGCACAAGCCATCCAGTGAAACGCGGCCGAGAGCTTTCTTCTGTAGTCTATTTTAGCGGGCAACCCTCCCAATCCAAAGAAGGGGTGAGACTTCGGGCACCTAGCTGGGGGACCTTGTATCAATTGGGGACACCCACGTCATCCCTAGGCTGGAATTAGGACCCCAGCATTTCATCTTATTCGTATTTTTTTGCCTGGGTACAGTAGTGGAAAACAAAGGGAGCACAAAAACGCAAAAAAGAAAGAAAGAAAAAAGAAACAACAACACAAGGGGAGCTAATTCTGGGGAAGCTATGAGAAGTGTTGGGGTGCCGGAAGTCGCAGTTTATTCCAGCCCAACCCCAACGGCTCCGAGCAGAACCAACACGGCTTGAATGAGTTGGCAGCGTGCTGAGGTCTGAGGCGCTAAGCGAGCGTTTTGTTTGAAAGCCAAGGGGCTGGTCCTTACATGGACCTTCCGACAGTTGGTTGACCATACGAGCCATGATCAAAACTGAACGGGTATTTAAATGGCCTACCCAAACCCGATGTAAGAAGTTTACAAAGCGGCTGCACCCATTTATGGTTGGGATTCTCCCCTACCAACCTTCATCTACCCGGGTTTCGATTTTGACTCATATTGCCATTCGGGTGTGCAACGTGAAACGGACCACTCTTGCAGGTGAGGTGATCGTGAAAGGGATAGCCAGCCTTAAGACACACCCTAAACAAGGACCCTACGAAGTATTTCCCTCGTAGGCAAATGGTGTATGATTCCCGAACACCAACAGGTTGGTTGGCCTCATGTGTACCGAGAAGCAACCAACCTTCTGATTTGGACTTGCTTCGGATCAAGCAAAATTGGGTGGTTCTGGGGTTCCTGACAACCAAGGCAGAGCAAACTTGTCTGGCGCAAAATGGGGACTGGATCCACAATCCCGGGGCAAGGGAAACCACGACCATCTGGCATAGCCCCGGACAATTTTGTTATAGTTCTTCAAAAGGAGATGGACAAATGTGTTGTCTCGGGTTGTCCCCCGCCTTTTCGTTCTCTAAACGAATAATAAATAGATTGACAGTGAGGGACGAAGGGTCGATTTTGAAGAACCCAGCCCCCCCCAAAAAACAAACAAACAAACAAACAACCTTTTGGCTTCCCAAAGAAAGAGGCCAAGGGTAAGCCTCAACACACAGCAGACATGCGCAAAGACAAACACATTGAACCATTCTAAGCCATTGCTCAACCATAAGCATTAGCATTCCTACCATCCTCAGCTTCGTCAAAAGCAGGGAAAGATGCTCGGGAACCACAAGGAAAAAAATATTAAAGAACAAAACAAACACAAAATAAGAACACACACTGCCAACCTGCAGACCTTCCTGGTTTCTGGCCTTGGTTTTTGCTTGCTGTGGCTCGACTCGACGATTCTCCCCCCGCGTCGGCGAGTCGGCGCCGGCGCAGGCGGCGCCTTGGCGGATCAGCTCCGCGCAGTACTTCCCCCCGCTGGCCGCGGCCTTCTTCTGCGCCTGCGGATCGAGTCCATTGGGACCCCAAGACATGGTGCCACATCCAGGTCCAGTGGAGAGATTAGAACAAGTTGTCTGACTCGGGGGAAAAAAAACAAAACAATAGCATTGATGAACACAAGAAGGGAAACAAGGATATATCATACTAATACTGGGTCCTCCAGTGGAGAGGATAGAATAAGTTGGTGCCCGATTTTTTCCGGTTTTGTCTATTTTAGTAGGGGAACCGAATCCCCCAACCAAAAAAGAGTGAGAAAGGGCACTACTGGGGGACCTAGACATGGGTATGGGTCAAAATTAAAGCAGACCAGACCTCAGATTTTAGTCACACAGCTTGGTGGCGGTTGGAACGACCCCTCTGCAAAAATGCTATATCACCTTTTGTGGTGTGTCAACCAAAAAGTGAAAGTCCAAAGATCCAACCAACTGGCCAGAAAGACAAGCTGGGCACCAAACAAATTCAAGCGGGGTCTAACATGATTCTTGGGGATCGGAATCATTTTGGTGGTAAAGCCAAAAGGAGACAACCAGCTTCTTGGGGTGCGTGCTTTTGGGCTGCCAAAGGGCAACCGGAATTTGAGGTTGTCAAGTAGATGCACGATTTTAGGATTTGAGGTCGCGTCAGGGAAGATACCCGCCAAAACAGACCGTATTGGTCAGTTGTCTGACTCAAAAAGAACGACAATAACATTGATGAACATAAGAAGGGAAACAAGGATACACATCATTATATCATACTAATACTAGGTCCTCCAGTAGAGAGGTTAGAACAAGGGTACCCTTTCTTCTGTAGTCTATTTCAGTAGGGGAACCCTCCCAACCAAAAAAGGGTGAGACAGGGCACTACTGGGGGATTTGGTGTCACACACCGACGTCCGGAACGATGCGCCACCGTCCGCCAGGCTGCCTAAGACTTCCACGACTTCGCTCAGGCCCGGGCCCGGAAGCTGGGGCTGGCGTGCTGCAGGTGAAGCCTGGGGTGTTCCCCTGGAACCAACACATGGGGCCAGTGGAATGCTGGCCTCCAAACTCCAAGGTTCCGTATGGACAGCCTTCAAGGCCAACATCCATCAGGATCCTGATCACTTTGACCCCAAACCAAGCCGTCTCTGAAAACCCGTCTGCGCCTGGGACTCCTTTTAAACCAAAGGAACCAATGGGAACCTCTCAAGCGTTGACCCCAAGTGTCTTCATGTGAGAAACACCATTGAACTTTAAAACCAGGGGTTTCGCATGGACAAGACCGCCCTCCTTTATGACACCCCAAGAGGCGTTTGGGTCCGCAAAAACTAAGGGCAAGGCCCAACATCCATCAGGATCGTGGTATTGACCCCGAATTGCTCCCTAGGTTCACACGGAACAGCCTTTTCGAGACATTTGGGAAGCAATCAAGCCGGCTGATTTCCTCCAGTAACTAGAATGGAACGCCCCGCCAGTCTTCCCAGTGCCATGCAGCAAGTGTCCAGATTCAACATGTGCATGGGGACCATTCGGTTGACCCACGGGATCCGAAGCCCGGCAAAGCTGTGGGCTCCGGCCATCTCGCGCAGGCGCGCAACGCCAGGATGGCGGTCGCCTGCGGGGAGTTTCCCTCAGGTACCTGGACCCTCAAACTACCCAGGCAAAAGGGACATCACACCAACTTGTTTCGGGCAACCTATGTTTAGGTTGGAGTGTTGAGGGTCGGGTTCACCCGAGAAACTTTTGGGGCAGTCACCTATGTTTAAGGGGAGGTTCCCAGAAAAACAAAAAGGCGAGTTCACCCCAGAAATGTTCGGGCAAGAACCTTTTTAAGTCGGAATGTTGAGGGTCCAGGTACCCGAAAAGTGGGCCAAGTGGAACCAAAAGATATGTGCAGAAACAAAAACTGATTAGTTCAAATCGTTGGTGTCTTGAAAAAGGAATAACGGCAGGATGATCGCCAGTACCCTCCAGGTGAAAACTCCGCGTTGAACTGCCCAACATCGGAAAGGGTTGCCCAAGACTGTGGCACTACCCCAAACCACCCCCAGGGGTTCAATGGTACACCCGAACCCTCAAAGTACCCATGAAAAATAGAGAGAATCCACGAACCATGTTTTTGGGTTGCCACCCATTTTCAAATTTACAAATTGTGAGGGACCAGATATACCCCATTCAATTTGGGGGGTGGCGCAAACCCCTCGCTTCAGGATCCGCCAACCCAGTTCCCCCAACCCCGGTTCCGGCCTCATGGGCCTGGGCGGCCTTGCAGGCGGCATCCAGGACCATGTTGGTGTGCACCAGCCTAAGTGCACAGATCCGAGCCATGCAAAACAAAAGCACGTGTTCTTGTTGTTTGTTTGCCTGGCGGACGGAGGAATTTGCAGGAAAATACCAGTCGTCTTGCCTTTATTTGTGTCTGGTGAACAGAGGAATTTGAAGGAATCAAAAGGGCAAAAGGGTAAAGAGTTGCAAAGGACTGGCAATGGTTGACACTGCTTTGGACGACTTTTGTAAAGATCGATCTGTTACCCAAATTTTTGGCAGGAGGATAAAGCCAAAGTAGGGTGCTTTTAGCATGGCACCAATGCTGTTCTCCTAACTGGTGACACCTGCAAGGTTTGCCAAGGGACGGGGTGCACTGGCGTCCCACACAACCAAGTCGTCTACCCAATCCATGTAAGGAGTTTAAAGGCGGCCGCACCTATTTCTGGCTGGGATTGCCCCGTACTAACCTTCATCTACCCGCGTTTCGATTGTGGCTTAAGTCCGACTGGAATGAGAAACAGGTGCAAACTTGGCCCACTAAAGTGGTGAGAGGGACCGACTCACGTGCTTTGGTCTGGATGTGATCCAAATCTGGCCAGTAACCCACAAATAACCCAGGAGTGATTTGCTTTAAAGAGACTAATGGTCAAACATGATGGGGAATCAACACCCTAAGCGCAGGGAATGCTGGCCAATCTGACGACGATAGAGGTTTCCGAATCTAGGATGTCCCTGGACGGAGTCTTTGCAGGACAACAACAACTTACTTCCTGAGTGGACTGGCCACAATGAGCTCCAAACTTTTTGGTTTGCCACCAAAAATCTTCACAAACAGTTTCAAGTCCATGAACTCAGGGAGCGAGAAAATGAAACCAAGAAGCTTGCTTGATCCGTCCCATCTCTGGAAAATATCGTGCACTTAAAGAAGATCTAACCATGGAGTCTCGCCTCGACTCGGTTGTGGATCACCAGTTTGGTGTCCCTCAAAAAATGAAATTCAGCTCAAAGTGGTTCCATCCTGTTGTGTCCCTCTACCTTTGTTCTTGTTTCCCTCGCAGTTCATGTTTTCCACATTTGTCCACTTTTCTGTATTTTGTTGGGGGGAGGGAAGGGGGTCCCTCCTCAAAAAGATACCATCGGTTGTGATCAGTCCTCCAAAAGTTGATCCCCATGACTCCGAGTGCCGCGCATGCTCGCGGCGAATGAGGACCGTCTTTCGGCGCCCACCATAACCTCTCGGCGGAGACAACGGAGATGGTGTTTCGCCCACACCGCAGAACCTTCATTTGCTGGTTCGTCCCCTAAAACATGAGAGAACATATGTCCAGTTGCGATAGATAGTTTTCAAAACCAAGAGGGGAAAATCAAACATATTCTGGAGCAAAAGGGAGATCAAGGGTCACTGGACGTCCCCTGAAGCTGATCAATTTACCAGTGGTCTCCCTTGAAACTGCGAAGTGGAGGCTCCAAAAAGGGAAACGGAGACTGCAAACCTTCCGGAATCGATGTTCCTCCACCTGACCAAAGGGAGCCTCCTGAAGTGGAGCTGGTTCAGCCCATTGGCGGAAACACAACCTGACCGATGGCCGAACCACTTGGCCGAACCGAACCAGCCGCCGGGGGGTCTCTGCCAGGAAAGACTTGACACTTTGTAAAGTTACGCGAACCTGTCTTGGTTGACGAAAGGGGAAGAAAAGCTCAAATGCTAGTAGTTAAGTGGTTGGATTTCAACCACTAAACCACAATCAGCAAAAATGTAACATGTTTCCCAACAACAACCAGGCAGTAGGGAAACTTCGGGTACACTCCTGCAAAGTTGGCAAGGGACCCCAAAAGACACTGGTTCTCTACAGAAACCCGGCTCGTTAACGGGCCCACTTTCCAGCCAGCCCTTCTTCCGCTCAGCTCACGCATTCTCGGGCGCCGCTTCGGGTTCAACTGGGTGAGAACGCTGATAATCACCCGCTTGCCTTTGGGCTTGGAACTCATTGCCATGGTCGATATCCAAATTTAATGACACTTTGCCAGGCGATGCTTTCATGTCGAGCCAGGTAGACAGCTCGAAGTCGTGTCTCCAAAAGCAACGGTGTCCTTTGTTGGCTTCAAAAAGGACATCGAAAGAACACCGAAACCAAAAGGCATTCCAAACCCAAAATGCATTCCAAGCCCAGAGCGGTGGCCGTGCCGCAGATCACATCCGCAAGCCAATTTGTGATTCGGGTCTCAGGATTTTTGAGGATGGGGCGCATCGCATGCGGAACCAGGGTTTCCCAATTACCATGAGGAACCAAGGGTTCAAATCCACAGACCACCAGGCTCCTGAAGAAAACAATTGAAAGAGCCAGAATCCCCCCTGCCCGAAGGAACGGGAATCGTGATTCAGAGCAGCAAGGCCAGCCATGTCAATTTCATGACCCATGGTGCTTGATGAGTTAGCAGGCTTCAATGGCTCCTGCTGCGGCTCTGAACCAGCACATAAGAATATGGAACCAACAGTTAAAATCCATGCCTCGAACATTCCCCCCTGCCCCTGTTCCACTTGGGGAGGTATCAAATGACCACAAACAAATAATTGATCATTGTTCAAAAGCTCACTTCCTGATTGGCCAGACAAGGTCCGACCTTTCTGTTTACCGCTCAAAATGGTCCAAACCAAAAGAGTGACTGAAGTCCGAAGACCCCAGGGAGTTCGACAGACGAAGCAATGCCTGAGCAAACCTTCCCCCGGGTGAAACCCGCCTTGCGGTTGGCGGCCTCCTCCGGAATGGCTGCAAGCAGCTCCAGCAAGCAAAGCCTCGGCGTTGTTCGCACCAAAGATTTTAGTTGTTTGGAAAGGGGGTCCCTTTCTTCTGCAGGAAAGGGAGTTTCCCTTTCTTTGGTTTGTTGTTGGAAAGGGGCTCCTTTTCTTCTGAAGGAAAAGCGCTAGACCAACCCCCCCCCCCCTTTTGGCTGTCGTTTGAGGGCTCGGAGCACCCAGTTTTGCCGCGAGTGACATGCGCACATCGCGGTGCACTTTTCTGCCATGCGGCAGTCTGGCCTTTGTTTTGCTTTTTGGTTTAGTAAGGAACAACCTATCTATATCCTTGTGACTAGCCAGAAGGTAGCTCCACAAACTACTGACTCTCATGCTTGCAACCCCGCAACTCCAACTATTGGCTCCTCAGCCCCTGTTTTGCAACACACGAGCACATCATGGCATAATGACACCATGACAAGTGCCTTGGGTCTGACCCACTTCAATGGACCCCATTCGAACTGTTGCCAACCACTCACTTGCAACCACGAACATGGCGATAACATGTGATCCTTAAGGTGGACCCTTGCCTGAAACTGTCCTTTCGGTTCTAAAGGTGGGCTCTGGAGTCGACTCGCCCGTTGTGCACCACTGGATCTACCGAGTCCCAACTCGTTCCTAGCAACTTGACGAAGCAACCTGCCATTCTCTTGCTGCTCAGCCGGAAATGAGACATGGAATGACCAAGAAAAACCATGCCGTGTGGCTTCTTTTAAGGGAATCCCTTTCCGGTTCATGCCCAACACCCGGTCTCTGTCATTCCCTACCTATCGCACCAGCAATACCTATCGCACCAGCAAGTTATACATGCAACGGCTGAAAAGAATGTTTCTCATCCCGCGTACCTTTAAAAGCTCTCAAACATTTGCCATCAAGCGCCAGCCGCGGCACGCCGCCAGCCGAAAACCAGCCATCAGGCCTGAGGCCCCTGCATGGCCTCCCCTCCGGAGAGCCTCACTTGAAGGCCAGTTGCTTGCCAAGTTGGATAATGGATCTGGCCCTTTCGTGGTTGAGGCCAACCTCCTACCTTGGGGGCTGAAAAAAAGAGAAACCAAACAACTCTCAAAAAGGAGACGTTGGCTTCCCCATACAAGGGTATGGATGTGTCACTTTTTGAGGGTAACCTTTTTGGGGACGGTTTACAGGGACACCAAGCTATCTATTGTGTTGATTCTATTTTATTCTATTCTTGTTTTTTTTTGGGGGGGGGCGGGGTTGTTCCCCTATTTCAAGACACACCCATATCGCCTTTTTGCCCGGATAGCCATTGGAGGTTTTGGACACCCTCTCTGCTGAGTTTAATGACCAGGAAACGCCCCTGACTGCCATCAAAAGGCTTTGCTCATTCAACAGGCAGGCTACGTGGAGATGCTGAGAAACAGAATCTAATCGAGACTTGGACTGTCTCCCCTTACAAAATAGGTGGCATTCCCAACAGAAGCAGCTACTTCTGGAACGTCTAGGGGCATGTGAGCGCTCCTTTTGTTTCCCTTCAAACTAATCCTCAAAAGACACACTTCGGAGTCAGGAAAATTTGAACAAAATCCATCCCCTTTTGTTTTTCTTCAAAGGGCAAACTAAAACATATGGGGAGCTCTCGAACTGGCGGATCTTTCTCTTTGGTGGTTTTCAAAAGGGAACCAAAGGGGGGGGGAATCATGCCGTCTGAAGGAACTAACCCATCTCGAGGATCCAATAGTATTTGAGAAAAACGCCGTATAGTCAACATATGATGCTGCTAAGGTTCCAGACTTTGGAGAAACCGACCTGGAAGTCTATGGAAGGTGCACGGCGCAAGCCCTCCAAACCACGCGGCCCCGGAAAAACAATTCCCCCGAACTCGGCCCAGGAGCTGCTGCAAGGTCTCCGTGAGCCACTGAGGGTCCTCCACCGCGGGGCGCCAGAGCTGGCAGTCCACCACCGCGATCACCAGCTGCCGGCCTCGCGGGACATACCACGCGACGCGGGACGCGAGTCCGTAGGACTGCCCCCTTCAAGAAACCGGCGCTGGGTCGCACAAAGAACCACTTCAATAGGTTCAATGGGGCGCACAAAAACCACCGGCGCTCGAAAAAAATGGGTCGCAAAAAACAACCCCAAAATAGAAACACAAAAACAGCGCTCCGAAAGAAAAAAGAAAGACAGAAAAAACGCAAAACCGTGGCGGTCAAACGCACCCTTGGGCCCCCAAACGCACGGAGGCCGGGCCGCTGCGGAACCTGGCCAGGCAGCTGTACCTGGCACGGCAGTTGTTCGTGCGACCGTTTTGGGATCCCATTTTGGGGGTGGTAGATGTACCACCCAAAACCATTTTGGGATCCCAGCTTGGGGTACAAACCAATGGTACCATTTTGGTTGGTCGGTGTACCCAAAACCGTTTTGGTTGATCCCAGTTTCTTTGGGATTGGTGAATTCACCACCCATTTTAGGCTTCCTATTTTAGTGGTTGGATTGAATCGGATGTTCACTGGGGGCACGATTTGGATTTTGACCCATGGCCACATTGCCAGGGAACGCCACCTAAGGTGCTGGAAGGGCCTGATTATCATTGAAATAGAATGCGGGGACTAAAATAAGTTCTGCGCGATCGTTTGGGAATTAGTATTTGTAAGTATCTAGCCCCTTATGTACTATACGTATATATATATATACATATGCTATTTTGCGGGGCTACTACCCCAAACACGTTGATACATGGCTCTAGTTTTGTCTTGTTCGCAACTCCAAACTGGATCGGTTGTGAACAATGGGAAACCCTTTGCGTAACGAGTCCATTCGCATCCTTACCTGATCTCTGTTGTGTCACATCCACGGGGGCACATCAGCCTGCTGCTCGGACAAACTTGTTTGAACCACACATCAACTCATTTTAGCCTAGCCTCCCCGGTTGTCACAGGCGCTCTACGGAAATTGCAAACACACTATTTCCCCACCAAGCCCATGTCAACCAACAAGATTGAATCCAATCAAGTTTGAACTTGCTTCTATATGACCTTGAAGCGGGCAGTCAGCATTGTATTAGCTAGGGGCTTTCCTTTGTTTTGAAACGGCTGGTTCTCCTGGTTGCCCACAGCACTATAGTGGAAACTGGAAGCACCGGGGAATTGCCGACATTAAATTGTGGAATGCGAGACACGCATATCCTATCATTATATCTTCCTGAAACATCATCCTCGTTTTTGCATTGCTGGCCAACAATGCACATTGTGGATTCGACGAAAACCAATGCGTACAAGCTGGGATGCATGAATAGCGGGAGAAACCACCTACCAACTGGTGCTCAAATTTTGACCTGGGTCCTACATAGGGGGTCCGGAAAGAACAACAAGGTCCGAGTGATTGGAGGCTCTCCAAAGGGTACCCATCCCATGTGGGCTTCCATTTGGTTACATGAAACAAACATGGGCTATTTGGCTCGTGTCCGCAGCATACGACTCCGAGGTTCCGGGCAGCTCTTGTCTGCAAGCATTGAGATCTGGAGGTAGCTGGCCGGCCTCGAGAACGCCACACAAAAGATGGGCCCGTGACATGTTTTCTTTTTGGTTTGCTGCCTTTTTTAGCTTGCTGGTGCTCAGCAGGGAATGAGGGAATGACCCTTATACACCATCCCGTGTGGTTGCATTTGCAGCCATTGCAACTTGCGATCGGTGCGAGAGATGGACATGAGACAGGGAATGACGACCCGTCTATAAACCATCCAACTGGTGGTTTCCTTTCAGGGCCCCCTAGGTTCATTCCACATTCCCTACTTCTCGCACCAGCAAGTTAAGGCTGATGTAAAGGGAAGTCGAAGGGACACCTGTCCATCTTGGGGGTCCCCCTATTTTGAGCTTCTCGGGGATTTCGGTTCAACCTGCCGGCACAGGGTTGAGGTGTGATGGTGGAACCATGAGCCAGTCTGTCATATATCTGTTTCTTACATTTTGCATACTCATCCAAAGGACCGTTTTCTGAGGAAAAAGTGGACTGGCGCCCTGGTATGTTCATCCGAATCTGAGGTTGAAGCTATCTTAGGTGTTCACCGGGCGCCTTGTAGCTTGGTGCTTCGATTAAACCATGGACCTTTAAGCGCAACTTGGACGGTCGATGGTCGACGGTCGTTCATGGAGGAACATGTTCGTCCTGGAAGGCACGTAAGCAGCCTTAACTGCCAGCAACCACAGTGACATTGCAGCGGTAGTTAGCTGCGAACGTCGTGCTTAACAAAGCTGTGAAACGCATGTTCTGTCACTGGATCGCCTCATTCAATGATGTAGGAACTGTAAATGACGGGACCCATCAGCGGCGCATCCACTTTGCAACGCGCAAACGCTTGAGTAAACCGACCTCTGATGGTTTTTATGGGAAGCCTCCCAGCGCTGTTCGTATCTTGATGATGGATGCTTGCCCTCGCGACAGTAGTTTTGATACAGCGTCAAAAAGGCACATTGGCGACCAACCCAGTTTCGCGTATGCAACTAGGACTTTTTAAGGAATGGGTTGGAAAGGAATATGCAAAGCATGGCTTGATTGGCAGCAATCCGATTCTGTCCAAATCAGCGTTGTGGACATGGCCTGTCCGCTTCTGTGATATTTTTCTAGGAAACAGCCTTTGCAACGACTGAAACCTCACAAAATGGCTCTGCGTTGTGACAGCAGTGGGAACAAACCAACCTACTTCCAGGGACGAGGGGGGTAGGAATTCACTCATATCCATCTCACTCAGC